TTCCTTCGATAATCTATTTCCTTAGTAGATAATCTACTTTTCAGAAAGTAGATAACCAACTTTCCCGGAAAGCAGATATTTCCCCATTTTCTATGATACAAATTTCCGTTTTATGATAAGTGATGACCAACTTTCCCAGAAAGCAGATATTTTATTTTCTATGATACAAATTTCTAATAAAGATAACGGCTTCGCAAAATTATAATGTTATTTGATGCACTATTTCCAAAAGCTGATACATCTACTTTCTTGTAAGTAGATATATCTACTTTTCAGTAAGTAGATAATCAACTCTTCCTGAAAGTGATGAGCCCTACTTATGATACAAATTTCCTGTTTCTATGATAATCTACTTCGCAAAATTAGATAATATTTCAAAAGTCGATATAATTTACTTCCCCCAAAAGCTCGAAAAATCTACTTTTCCTAGTGTGTAGATAATCTACTTTTTCAGAAAGTAGATAACCAACTTTCCCGGAAAGTAGATATTTCCATTTTCTATGATACAAATTTCGTTTTCTATGGTATAAGTAGATAACCAACTTTCCCAGAAAGTGGGATAGAGCTTCATTGTGATACAAACTTCTCCGTTTTCTATGATAATCTTATACTTCGCAAAAATTATTTCCAAAAAGTCGATAATTTGCTTCGTAAATGATAATCTACTTTCCTGAAAAGTAGATAATCTACTTTTTCAGAAAGTAGATAATCAACTTCGGAAAGTAGATATTTCATTTTAAAGATATAAATTTCCCGTTTTCTATGATAATCACTGCAAAACATAGTATTTCCCTCAAAGTCGATAATTTATTTCCTCAAAAGTCGAAAATCTACTTTTTCCGAGGTAGATAATCTACTTTTCTGAAAGTAGATAACCAACTTCTGCGGAAAGTAGATATTTCCCATTTATGATACAAATTTCCTGTTTCTATGATATGATAACCAACTTTCCCAGAAAGTGATATTTCATTTTCTGTGATACAATTTCCTGTTTTCGATAACTACCAGATAATATTTCCGTGTCGATAATTTATTTCAAAAGTCGATAATTCACTTTTCCTTAGTAGTTAATTACTTTATGAGATAACCAACTTTCCCGGAAAGGATATTTCCCATTTTCTATGATAAGCAAATTTCTGTTTCTATGATAAGTAGATGACCAACTTTCCCAGAAAGCAGATATTTCCATTTTCTGTGATACAAATTTCTGTTTTCTATGATAATCTACTGGAAAAATAGGTAATATTTCTTTCTGCTTATGATACAGATAAATCAACTTTCCAAATAGAAAAGCAGAAAATATTTCCCATTTTCTGTGATAAAAATTTCCGTTTCTATGATATCGAAAGTAGATAACCAACTTTCCCGGAAAGTAGATATTTCCCATTTTCTATGATACAAATTTCCCGTTTTCTATGATAATCTCCCTTACAAGACGTGTTAATTGTAGACGAGATGTTCGGCCTGTGTCTCAATCTCTCTTATTTACGGGTCATAGAAAGTTTTTTAATGCTTTTTTCTTGCCATAAGTAGACACGTTTTTGGCAGGTTGTGGTGTGGCAGGTTTGTGGTGTGACAGGTGTGTGATGTGACAGGTGTGTGATGTGGCAGGTGTGTGATGTGGCAGGTGTGTGATGTGACAGTTTTGTGATGTGACACGTGTGTGATGTGACAGGTGTGTGATGTGGCAGGTGTGTGGTGTAGCAGGTGTGTGATGTGGCAGGTGTGATGTGACAGGTGTGTGGTGTGGCAGGTGTGTGATGTGGCAGGTGTGTGATGTGATATGTGTGATGTGACAGGTGTGTAATGTGGTTGGTGATGGCAGAGAGATGTTTGACCTCTGTAACTGAAATCGATGCTAATCCCTAGAGTACGATGCCAACCACTTGAGTACGAAGCCATCCCAGAGTACTTAGCTAAACTGTACTCTCGGATGTGTGGTGGAAGGAGAAAGTGAGAGAAGGGAGAAGAGGAAGTTGAAGGGGGGGATGAAGGGGTTATAAGGAGGTGAGGGGAGAGGGGGTCAGAGGAAGAGGGAGAGGACAGGTGGGGAGAAGAGGAAGAGAGGTCAGAGAAAGAGGGAGATAAAGGAAGGGAGGAAGAGAAAGGGAAAGAGGAAGGGGTGGGAGGTAAAAAGCAGATCACGAAGTCATCAAATTTATTTAGTCGTCGAAGATTCTTGACCTATATACAGTACCTGTGGTGAAGGTGATGTGGGGAGGAGAGGAGAGAGAGGCAGGGGTGGGGGAGGAGAGGGAGAGAGAGGGTAGGTGGGGGGAGAAGAGGGAGAGAGAGGGTAGGGTGGGGGAGGAGAGGGAGAGAGAGGGTAGGGTGGGGAGGAGAGGGAGAGAGAGGGGTGGGGAGGTGGGAGAGAGACAGAGGGTAGGTGGGGAGAAGGGAGGGAGAGAGAGAGAGGGGAGAGGACAGGTGGGGAAAAGGGAGGGGAGGGAGGTAGGTGGGGAGAAGGAGGGAGAGAGAGAGAGAGAGAGAGGACAGGTGGGGAGAAAGAGGGAGAGAGAGAGGGTAGGTGGGGAGAAGGAGAGAGATGGGGAAGGGAGAGAGGGAAAGTGGGGAAATGGAGAGGAAGGAAGAGGAGGAGGAGGAGGGAAGAGAGGGAGAGACACTGAACGAGAGGGAGAAAAAATGAGTAGGTTTAAAATGAGAGAGAGAAGGAGAAATAAGAAGAAAAATAATAATATTAATGACATAATCTTGATAGTATTTGATGTCCCTAATGGCAAAAATTTATGGAATTCAAATATTGGTCCAAATTTACCTGCCAGAGGAACTTACAGAGCTCATATACCTGTGACCACCTGGTGTAACTTGATCCAATATTGAGTTACAAAAATACCAGTAGGGAAAAATTTATCCAGAAGATGAAATATATATTTTTTAGTGGAAATTGAAACTTTTTTTATTATTGCTTTGAAGTATAAACGTAATTTGCATATCTGCTTTACCTTAATTTTAACTTCTGAAGGTGAGGAAAAATTGGATGGGAAGACTTTACACAAAATAGTTAATAAATTGATAATGTTCCTCTGGATAGTGAGTTGATGGTGTCAGAGAGGATAGTGAAGGATAGTATATCCTCCGAGGATAGTAGGTCAAGACACAATAGGTCGACACTTACAATAGGTCGACACTTATAATAGGTCAAGACACAAGGTGGTCTCTGCATATTGCCACTTCACCTGTGTTTGACCCGAGGCCAATCACTCACTGGTTATTAGTGCGGGAATGGTCGTTCACGTGCCTGTTGTATGACAGTTATAAGGGTAGTTATAGGGCCAGTTATCGGGGTAGTTATAGGGATAGTTTTGGCAGTTTAGGGGATAGTTATAGAGGCAGTTATAGGTGCATCATTCAAGCATAAATAAAATGTGGGACAGTGCGCGACAAATTATACTTCATCGTCCTATAGTAACACACACACCAGCCCTTAGCCCCCGTGGTTCTGTCTGGATCAACCCTCATAGATCTCTGGATTAGCCCTCAGCCCTTACTATTGGCTCTCTTCCCCACTTTTATATACTTAAGTAACTATCTCACTTTTTTGTTAAGTAGGTCTGTATCTCTTAGTCACGCCTATGTCGGGATGGTCTACACATTACCCTACCCTACCCTACCCTACCGTACTGTTAACTCTATTCTACCCTTCCCTACAGCTGCCCCTGGGAGGTCCCCTGGTTTTAACTTATTAAGTACTTACAGAATAGCACACTTACACAACCAAAATCGCACTTTGGAAACTCGTAGTTGGCGAGTAATTTGCATTGAAAATTTTCATAAATTTTCCAAGTGTAATTACAACCACTATTTACCCGCCAATCGAATCGCGACCTTACATTCGAAATCAAGGGCCCAGGGAGCAACCCCACCCGTAAGAGGAGCCCTGGGGACGCCACCGCCCCTGAGAGGGCCCCTGTGGGTGCCATTGCCCCTGGCACCACCGCCATCCCTGGGAGGGACCCTGGCAGCGCCGTTGTCCATGGGATAGTTCCTGAGGGCTCTGCCATGTTTGGGAGAACCTCTGGCAGCACCGCTGTCCCTTGGAGGGCCCATGGTGAGCAACCGCACCTGGCAGGGCCCCTGGGGGGGCTGCCGTCCCTGGGAGGGCCCCTGGAGGTGCTACCATCCCTGTGATGGACCCCAGGAGCACTGCTGTCTTTGGCTGAGCCCCTGGGGGTCGCCTCTGTCACTGGGAGAGCCCCTGGGGGTGCAGTGCCGCTGGGAGGGCTCCTGGGGGCGGTGACGCCCTTGGCAGAGCCCCTGGGGGTGTTAGCGCCCCTAGCAGGGCCTTTGGGGGAGCTCCAGTATGGGCCAATAGGCCCGCTGCAGCTTCCTCCATTCTTATGTTCTTATGGGGGCGCCACAGTCCCTGGCAAGGCCCCTGGGGGCTCCACCAGCCCTGGATGCGTTGCTGCTCCTGGGAAGGCCCCGGTAGGCACAGTCGCACCTGGGGGCGCCGCTGTCCTTGGGAGGGCCCCTGGGAAGCTTCTGCCCACCGCCCCTGTGAAGGCCCCTGGGGGCACCGCTGCCCCTAAAGAGGGTCCTTGGGGGCGCCGTTGTCCCTGGGAGCAGTTTTGGGGGGGCACTATTTAGTACTCTGAGAGATATTACATTAAATAAATACACCGCCCATCGCATTTCCAGTATCATCGCGTCCTGAACAATGAAAAGGAGAATAAATATCCAACAGGAAAACATAAGTTGGGGTGTTGTGCTGACTGATTGCTCTGTTCTGTTGGCTGCAATTTGGTGGATTTACATTTTAGTCCACCAATCACAGTTAAGTAAGGGAGAGAAGGGAAGGATGGTGGGTAGGTGGGAGAGAGGGTGGGTGGGTGGGATCGTGGGAGGGAGAGTGGGTAGGTAGGTGGGAGAAAAGGTAGGGATGGTGGGAGAGGAGGGGGGGATAGGTGGGGGGGGATGATGGGTAGGTGTGAGAGGAGGGAGGGGTAGTATGTTGGTGGGTAATATGTGACCTCTTCTTTATTCACCTCGTGTGTGAAGAGATAAACCCTTACATCAATCTCAAAACACTTCTTGGTGCCTCACTGATAAATACATCATATTATTTTAAATCCCTAATCTGAGGTTATGTTATTGTGTTCTGTGTTAGATGATGATGATGATGATACAAGTGTGTGTACAGTAGTGTGGTGACTGATGATGGTGTAGTGTTAATGTACAGTACTCATCAACTATCTCCATAAGTCTTATGTGTCCATCTCTGTTTCAGAAGTGGTGGATGCTGTAGTGATGCCAAGTGAGGGAACACAGCTGCCATCATACACTGTAGTGACACTTAGAATATTAACAAAGTGAAACTCGAGGAATAAGGAAGTGTCCGGATAGAACATCTTCAAAAATACTGTCGGAAACTCTTCAGTGCTAAGAAATAACAATAGGTTACAGTTAACATTAAAGTGTGTAAAGATATAAAAACAGTGTTATTTAGTATATAGTTGTCCTGTTTTGTACAGTATAGCAAAGTGGCCTGCAGTGGCACTACACACAACAAGTGTCTTGCCAGGCAGAGTAACATGATGGATGGCATGTGATGATGTCTCATAACAACATGTTCTTGAGATACCAGACAGGGACACAGTGGTAGCATGACACCATCAACCACCAACACCAACCTGTACCTCAGCCCTTACCTGCAACACTCACCACACAACACACAGGCTATCATGTGACCACACGCTGTTCCTGTAAAACAATCCTAAACCTCCTGATGTGTCACGAGTTTAATCTGCAAGACATTTGGTGATATCAAAGTATAAAAACATCAGAAAACATGTTGGCAGTATATAAGCTGTGAATCAAAAACTGAAATAACAAATATATATTTTTGTATCCTTGATAAACACAGTAAAGTCTGCCTGGAACAAACACTCTCTCCTCCTCCTCCCTGATGTATGTCAACTGCTTCACCAGAGACTAAAGTATCATTACCAGTATTCTACACCAACCACAACACAGCTACAGCATCTATGTGTTTATTGTCTTTGTTTCATCAATATATAAATGTCACTAGTGTTTGATGGTGATTGTTACTTAACTGTGTGTGGGTGTTTAAGTCATCCCTGTAACCAGTTTTTGATGCACTATATCAATCAATTACTCTGTGTTGTGGGCTACCTGATTGATGTCTTACTCATATATATTTGATGTTCACTATAACAGCCAGTTGTGCTTCTATGTGTCAGTCAGTTTCCTGTGTTGAGAACAATTATACAGTATAAAAAAACAAGAAAGAGTTCAGGTATTCCAAGGTAAATATTGCTGGAACAAGTCAGCATTGGTATTAGCTGTTAAGGTATTCAACCAAAACAGCAGAAACATTCTTATCAACAGAGAAGTAAACAAGAAGGAAATACTGTGAAGTTGGAATTATTCTGGTCGAATCACTGACATACAGGACAATTTGTTTATTCTTAATTGATCCTCTGAATGATGTGCTTCCAAAGTTAATTATTAGTGTACAGAAAACTGTGAATTTTGCGAAGGTGATTACAGAGTTGATAAACAAACCTCTCAAACTGTCCTTTTGAGTGAAATAAGAAAGGCGTTGGTTTGATTATCTTTGTGTTGGTTGTTGTCATAAGTGTCGTATATTTGTGACAAAGTACGTAATCAAAAATTGTATAATCGGTGGTCCATGTGTGCAAAGTGAGCGAGTGTTGTGATAAAGGCAGTATAAGCTTCCCCTCCAAGATAACAGGTGCTGTGTTCTTACTGTGGGAACAACACTGTGGCCTAACCTCCCCCCCAGCGAAGGTAACTGTTCGCAATCCTGCCTCAGCATAACCTATTTTTGAACCGCATTTCACTCGTTGATAAAGAGATACTTTGTGTATACAAGTATAAAGTTTATTTTAAGTTTCTCTGGTGCTCGAAAATATTACCCAGTAGTAAGTGGACTCGGTGCTTCTATATAATAATAAGATAAAAAATAAGTATAAAGGGAAGGTTTATAGACTAACTTGTAGTGAGCAACAACAGTACTGTATTACTCTTCATAACCTGTGAGTGGTGGCAACTGTGCCCACCTCAGATTAAGTGAGAGACTTGACCTTCCATGCAGGGAGAAACAGCCATAATGGGCGAGTCTGGTGAGCTCAGCACCAACGGGACATGGGTGGGAGACATGTGGGTGACGGCCAACACAAGCGTGGACGGCACGGTAGACTCCGTGAGCGGTCCAGAATGGAAAGACCTGACCGTGGGCATAGTGAAGGGAGTGTGTATGGCAGTGATCATTGTGTGTGCAGTGCTGGGCAACCTGCTGGTAGTGGTGAGTGTGGTGCGTCACCGCCGCCTCCGCATCATTACCAACTACTTCGTGGTGTCCCTCGCCATCGCTGACATATTAGTGGCACTCATGGCCATGCCGTTCAACGCCAGCGTAGAACTTACCGGCCGCTGGCTGTTCAGTTACCGCATGTGTGATCTGTGGAATTCTTTTGACGTTTTTGCGTCCACTGTGTCCATCCTACATTTGTGTAGCATAAGTATTGACCGGTACTACGCCATCGTACGGCCTCTGGAGTACCCCAGGTTGATGACCAAGGGGCGCGCGGTGATCATGCTGTGCCACGTTTGGCTGGCGCCTCTAGTAATCTCCTTCCTGCCTATTTTCATGGGTTGGTACACCACCGAGGAACACCTGGCCGAGCGCGCTGCCAACCCCAGCCGTTGTATCTTTGAAGTCAACACTACGTACGCAGTGGTGTCGTCGTCCATCTCGTTCTGGATGCCGTGCAGCGTCATGGTGTACATGTACTACCGCATATACCTGGAAGCAGCGCGCCAGGAGCGGATAATGCACCGAAACACGCGACTCTCCAGCGCCTCTCAAGCGGCCGTCGTGGTGTCCAATAACTCCACCAACACCACCATCACGACGGCCAGCGCCGGCACCAACGGAGTGGGATCCGACAATGCCGGGAGCCTGGGTCTGGGCAGCGGGGGGTCCGGCCGCCGCCTCATGGCCCACCGACCCTCCAGCGACACCCAGGAGGCAACTCCCACCAAAAATAACCTGATCAAGCTGAAGCGAGAGCGCAAGGCAGCCCGCACACTGGGCATCATCATGGGGGCCTTTATAGTGTGCTGGCTGCCGTTCTTCACCTGGTACGTCACCATCACCCTCTGTGGAGAGGCCTGCCCTTGTCCTGAAATCATCGTCTCTATCCTCTTCTGGATTGGGTACTTCAATTCCATGCTCAACCCCGCCATCTACGCCTACTTCAACCGCGACTTCCGGGAGGCATTTCGACGGACTCTCCAGTGTGTGTTTCGGTGCGGTCGTCCGGTTGACCCTTGGAGGGGGCAGCTGGGGCCGCCGTACGACTCCGACCTTTGCCTCCAACATAACGGACACTCTACCATCGTCAAGGCAAAGGCACGACGTTACAGCACCGAATGTGGCGTCTAAGTCTCCCTCCCTCCTTCCTGTATCCTCTGTACACATGCATAATAAGAGTCTATTTTGGGTAGATGTCTCTAATGTATAGGTTCTTACTTGTCCCCCAATGTGGTACAAGTCAAACCAACTGTATTAGATCTCATAAATACACATGTAATAAATTAACCAATGACTTTTGATGACCCATGCCCCACCTTCACCTACACTACACACGGTAAGTCCTCCGTGTATAAAAAACAAAACACTCTGGGTGTCTATTGTACCTATAACCCCTTAGACTGGATGGAACAAACACATATATGCCTAAATAAAAGAAACTCAAAGTGATATAACAACAAAATAAATAAATAACAGTAAAAGAAATCCAAACTTAAAATGAGGGGAATCGGCATCTGTCCAGCCACCTGCGCCATGGTAGAAAAAATAAATAAGGTTCGTATCTATGAAAAACATAGAGTGTATGTACACATATTTTGTCTGTAAAAAAAACTATAAATATGTTTTGGTTCACATCTGAATGGCATATACAAAAGGAGAAACAGCATCATAATAATTGCCCAAACAGTATTCAATAAAAATACCTGTCTGTTTTCCATTAAAATCTTCCCTAACTACCACAGCAGTCATAGCTCCTTCAAGTAGGTCCTGGGGTACATAAACAAGACCTACAGTATTCAGTTAGTTTTCTTAATCCAAATTAAAAGAAATCAAAACACTGCCCCTACTGATTCCACCAGCAAGACACAAGTTGGGAAGAAACGACAATAACTGAAAGAGTTGTGAAGGACAAGACCAATACAGCAGTGCTATTATACCACAGAGAACACACACACACCACCATACATAGAAGCCATAAAACCATACATAGGAGCCACACTACCATACATAAGCCACACTACCATACATAGGAGCCACACTACCATACATAGGAGCCACATACACTACCATACATAGGAGCCACACTACCATACATTGAAGCCACACTACCATACATAGGAGCCACACTACCATACATTGAAGCCACACTACCATACATAGGAGCCACACTACCATACATAGGAGCCACACTACCATACATAGGAGCCACTACCATACATAAGCCTTCAGCTGTAAGTGACTGAATCACTACTCTGCCTGATCTTGACAACAACAACTACACAAACATAAACTCCTGTCAACCAATTTATGTCTGATAATTAATTCTAGAGTAAACAAACTTATTTATCACTTGTTATTATCATCAGTTTCATCTATTGCATCTAAATATTAGCCAGCCATTATTCACAAACCTTTTAATAATAATAAACTGAGCAACTATCACATCCAGTTCAATGCTTCAATAATTTCTCTAATATATTTTAAAAACCCATTACAGTACGTACTAGACTTTTATTAATATATTCACAGATCTAATTATTGGGCTATTATCTTCACCACTGTCCCACTTTTCACAGTGTGGATCAAGGCGCAGTAAACACAGACCTCACACAAAGACAGACACGATTCACAGGTATTGATGTAGGAAAAGTTAGGAAAACAACAGTAATGGTTGATATATTGAATGAAAAAATACTCTTACCCGTACTCAGTCATGCATAACACACACACACACATACAGACTTACACACACACATGCTCTTTCTTAACAAACCTAGATAAATAACAAACTACAGTACAGTACTATATTTACATCAAGTAGATACAGTAACATTAAGTAATGGTGATGGCACTGTAGTGACTGACTACAAGAGACGAAAACTATTGTGAATGTAACCAGAAAGTAATCAGGAAAAATAGTTATGAATGCTATCAGAAAATACTAAATACAGTACACAGTCAAGTTATAATTGAAATAAAATGGATTCTGAGAGTTATACTATGCATAGCAAGATAGTGGATGAAATGTTGCAAGAGTTAAAACAAAAAACAGTGTAGGATAGAGACAGACAGCCAGAAAGGTTTGAAAGAGAAGTAAACACACAAGTTAATTGATAAGCCACTAACCCCTTCACTACGGGGATGCCACTTTTTATATTTGATTTGGCTAACGTCAGATGGTTCTATTCAGCTCAGAGGCGACCCAGTACACAAGGGGTTCAAGAGGAATATGAAAAAGAGGAAAATGTATATATGACATTGGCTATCAGAAGATTAACCCCTTGTGTACCGAGTCCCTCTGTGCTGAGTAAAACCATCTGAAGCTAGCTAAATAAAATACTCAAAGTGGTGTCTCCATAGTGAAGGGATTAATTACTGTATATACAATCTTTACCTGTTGGTCTTAAGGGGAGAGTTCAGTAATAACAGCACTAACTAATCATCTCAGCACACCTAACAATCATACACCCATGATGATTTTTTTTATGCCACAACTTAAATCACTGCATTGAGTCTATGATAGTTTATCTTGGGGATACCTGTACGTACTTGATTTGATAAGGATGATGGACGGACAGATAGACAGACACACCATAACTGATACATCCCCCAGGGAGAATAAATGGGGTGAAATGTGGATGTTAGAATAAAGAAGTGTTGATGTGGTTTGGGTCTAGAGAGGGAATGGATATGGGGGAGATAACTAAGAGAACAGATAAATGGAAGGAAAGGTAGATCAAAAGTGGAAGAATAGAATAAGAGAGAGGAGACAACACAATAACATGGAGATGGTGCATGAGTCATCTTTCTTACTACAGGATATTAGAACACAGCTTCAGGGATACATTAAGATTGGTACCATACACAGGTCTCTTTAACAAGTACCTATAACTAATTCCCAGAGTGTGATTGAGTTAATGACTTGTGAAGTGCTCCAGGCGAGAACAAGAGAAGCAACAAAAGTGGCCCGAGACGTCTTCAATATATTACCACTACACTTTAACTATATATCACTTGTTTACTTATCACCCAGAGTGCCTCACATAGTCTGAAGAAGGCAGAGTGTAGAAATTAAGATATTTGGAAATATTAAAAGCCTCGTTGCCTAAATAGATGTACATTAACAAAGGGTTTGCTTCAGAAAGGTACAGTAAGTGAGGAAGAGTGAGGATAGCTATGGGTGAGGTAGGGTTAATAAATGAGGAAACTGAAGATGTATGGTCATGATCCTGTCACCTCTCCTGCTGCTCCACAAACCCATAGATTCAGACTCATGAACCCAAAGCAGCAGACACCGATGCATTACTGTATTCTGTCCACGGATGCTTCGGATTCATGAGTCTGAATCTCGGGGTTCATAGAGCAGCAGGATAGGCGACAAGATTTTAGTACCAGTGAAGAGACGGTGGAAGAGTCTCACGGGAATAATCTTGCTATGAAGCCAGCAAATATTTACATGATATAAAGGAAAATATCAATATTAAATGATCTAATGTAATGACCTCTTGACTATGGGGATGCCACTCTTAATATTTTATCTGACTGACAGAGTTAAGAATGTTGACTTTCATCTTTACACTCAAGATAACATTACCTTTCATATCTAAGGTGCCTCGCGTCCTCCCGCACTTGAGAAGATACTGGAGCCCCCGACCATCTCTGTCTATACATGTTTAAGCATTACACATTCAGAAGCAACACCTCAAAAGCTTGGCTGATGATGATTGCGATGATGCTGATGGTGAGTCTACATACTGGTTTGGTTTTCTCAAGGAACTGACCACTTGCTTGCACTGAGGAAACACAATATGTGGACAGGTTAAGAATGACCTCAGCAAGAGCACAACAGGCAGAGGGTAAACAGTAGAGAAAATACAAAAGGTACAGATACAGTAAGGATAAACCAAAACAAAGTCAATAGGAAATGTGGAAATGGTTACAGTAAGTGACTACAAAGAATGGCTACATAACACAGCTACAGAACATTGTGAAGACAGTCACTTTATCTCCACCCTACAAATACTTTCAAGGCTCACCAGAGACAACCAGATCACTCCATATAATAAACACATTTCTACAGACTTTGGAGGTGAAAAGTTTCCACCCGACAATTTGGGTAATCTTAAACCCTTCACTACGGGTGGCGCCACTTTTAGTAACCTACTTGGCTAATGGTAGACTCAGCACAGAGAGCAGCGCATACACAAGGATCAAGTAACTCTGATACACCCAAGAATACTCAAAATACTTCACATTTAAGATCTCTCTCCATACTGTACCTGGTCTGTCACACACTACAGGTAAATACACTTATTAATATAACCCAAAACACAATTAGAAATATACAAATCTATACAGAATAATAACACCTGTGCATTACTACCAAACTTCTTTGTGTATTCACTCTCAACTTGTATTGCATTTCCTGTACATGGTCCTTCAATTCACCAATGTTCTGCGTCATCTTAAATATTATACACGGTCGGTTTTATTATCCGAGAACACTAAATGATTGTACTGGACTGTATTTGAGTATGTGCAATAAACAGGAACTTAAAAATCTCTAGGAATAAAGTCTGATCATGACAAAAACGACATTTATGATGTTTTCAGACTTCATAGCACGTCTTAAATTATGGTAAGTATTTAGTGTTCTCTAATAAACCCGTGACACCTGTCTCTATTTCCATCCAGCATAATGTTGACAAAAATTCTCACCCCTTTTCTGGAATTAGTTTTATATCATTACAGGATGTCTATAAATCATTTGACCCAATTTAAAACTCAATAAACTCGGAAATGTTATATAGATAGAACACATTGCACGTATGAAAGTTTACCGAGACAAAATGAAAAATGACTAGTTGTTGGTCAAGTATATATATAATAAAACCGACGCTGTCTATCTATTAGTCGTTAAGAAGGGTCGGGTAATTTATGGACAGTCCGTACCTTCAACCACATCCAACGACACACATAAATAGGGACAAAAAATACCATCAAACTACATTTAACTTTAATGGCATTCTGGCTTGATTTTATGCATACACCGATGAAAATGTCTCTTATCCGATTTCTGTCATTTCCATCACAGATTTCTTCTAATACTGTTGCTTGTTTGGAAAAGATTATGATGATGATGACCTTTTCCTAAACAGTGGCTGATAAACAACAATAATAATTTATCCAATATTATATCAATTATTTTAACAGATATTTCTAAACACTTTACATTTTAATATTTCCATTCAAGATTACATACAAGATCTCAAGATTACATGCAAGGTGTCTTAAGATAACATATAATATCTCTTGTATTAATACTGTATTGTAATCTTCTCCTTCAACAAGTTTCAAGTTTGATTAAATAAATTTTTCCTGGAGTTAGTTCCCACAACACAATGTCCCATTCTTGCAGGTTTATATGGTCCAAAATCAGCCACTCATAGTTAACCACTTACCATACAGTGAGTGACCTTGTGAACTACTGTACTGTACACCAGACCACAAGGCAGAAAACAAACACAACTGCTGCTTCTTCTTCATCATCAAGATATTTTATGAATTTGGTGATTTATAATTCAATTTCCAATACACTATTAGCTTAACACAGTGCGGGGTTCAACGACCACAGCACACAATGTCTGCAGTACTGTACTGTACTGTACCGGTTACTCTAGCAGATTGTGCTATGCTCCACAACCACGTCTTCTGTACGTTTGAGCATGAAAAGCCTTTGGTACAATTATAAACATCAGTAAGTACACAGACTTCTTAACACTCAGGGCAGAGCCTTGACTACTGACAGGAGGAACATTAAATCACTTTTGACATTTTGTACAGCAATTACATAAGTGGACACATAATTACATACTGAATACACACCACCACTTGCCTTGAACTAGAGGTACCAGGCCTTGAGAGATGCTGTTCATGTGGGGTGCTGAACACCAACTCTAACTGGTCAAGGACACACTATGAACAAATGTGGATACATTATCTAGAATATTCATTATAATATCTGGGACATCCACACAACATTTAGTTAACAAAAAATAGTTTACACCAAATGTTTCTAGAATCAAGGTCCAACTATCCTGGGTGGGGTTGGCTAAACTAAACGAGAGAATTACGGTAATGTTCCCAGTTTCCTGTTTCTTCCGTAGACTCCCTTCCTCCTAGCCAAATGGGGGAAGTGACACTGGGAGGCAGCGAGGGCAGGAAGTACCCAGGGAAAAGGGTCGCACAAAACACCACTGTTGTTTTTGTTCTTTTCCAACTTACAGCATCAATAATGAGTATATAACCCGGGAGTCACCGGCAGTTGAGGTGCTGCGCTCCTCTGGTGGTTCAGTACTGATGCTAAGTGTGTTGTTAATGATGGTCCAACTAGTGTTAAGGTGTGACTGGATATTTCTAAGACTTAACACATCCAGTAAGGAAGTTGTCTATCTTGTGACCATAAGTACACAAAAATTAGTCTCAATTACCAAGTTACAATAAAACTCCAAATTTGCTCGTTACTGTACAACTTGTACAATTCAAGCTCAAATTTGTGACAGATTCACCGAGACAAAACCTCACAAGTATCTGTCGTACGTCGAAACTTTATTAGTTCTACAAATATTTGATTCTAAGACCATTAAAAATATTTTCCTTTTTAGAAATAACTGTTAATGTCCAATAAAGGGAATCTAAGGCAGAGGCACCCAGCATCTATGATATCAGCTCAGACACCATGAAGCAGCCATTATAAAATTCTCCTTTATAATTTGCATGACAGAAACTTTTACTACGAGCTGCGACGCGGTCAACCGAACCGACGACACTCCTCCGAGTGGTGGGTATTGCCGTACCCAAGGGCCCTCTCACACCTGCTCAAGGGGGGAATCGTGAGTGTGAGGGAGGGCCTTGTAGGGGAGAAAGGTAACGCGCATTACACAGCAACGTGCTCCTAATCCTAACTCTGTGCCTAGCGTCTTAATATTCCCAATGAAGGACACTCACCAGTTGATTCACACAATACTGTATTGCACTAATAAATCTTTGCAGCAAAGTTCGTAACAAAAACTCTTTTCTCGTCCTCATAAAAAAAATATTGTTCGCTCCTCGTACGAGCTACTGTATATCGTTACGTTTCACAACAGGAGTTACTGCAAGAAATCAGTCATCATCGGTAATGACAAAAAAGTTAATTCATAATTTGAGCACTTCAAAAAGTATGTCTTGGACATTTTATTTGTGCTTGTGCTTGAGCAGAGGAGACAATGGTCACACTGTTCCTCACACTACAGGGAGCACACCAAAAATTCTTGGGATGAAATACTTCCAGTAAACCAGGGGTCAATATTAACACCATGTAGGTGTCCCAACAGTGGCCTGGACTTATCTACCAGCTGGCCCAACATCTCTTGCTGCAATGTTTAAGCCCCAGAAGATGTACACTTATCTACTCGGCTGTCTCGCCTCTCACGTGGAACCAGGGGTTACTTCTGCAGCCTTGGAGTTTTATCTCCACTAGACTGTGTGGTCCACACTCGTTATACTTTAATACACCGTACACAATTACCTGATATAATTACACCTAAAGAATAATAACCATCTGGAACTCTCAACAAGACAAGTTTAAAGAATGTTAACATGAGGAATAGACCATCAGATGGCAGGTAAAGGCATCATTCCAAAAATATTGTACCCTGGTTGTTAATGAGGTCTCCTTGTTGGCCAATTCAATAATAAATATATCTGGCTTCCCGTAATCATAACATTGCGACTCTTAATACCTTGCAAAGTGGAAAAAACAAACAAACACTCACCCCGACAATAAAAACATCTTCACACAGTAATAATTATTGTACCCTGCTTATTAATCTGGTCTTCCTGCCAGTTTACAAACAAACAAAATTTGAGCATAAATCTTCATGACCAAATAACACAAGAATGATTAAACTCTTCATCTGTCAACAGTAGCTTCTCCTTTAGACCTGGTTGTGTACAGTATCTCAGGTCCTCATGTCACTGTTGTCATGGTGGTCACACAAGCTTAGGGGTGACAAGTGCTTCTATGCTTAAACTAAACACCACACAGAGTCTCAAGACAATAATAATAATGACTTAAAATATCCATCGTGGTGTTAAAACTTCACTGGTGTTAAATACCATAAAAATTAAAGACTCATAAAAAATCATACAGTATATATAAAGTTATGTATATTCTCAGTAATTCATTCATCTTTAACCTATATTTCAACAAACATCTACAAGTAAATTCACCAGTTAGTGTCAATCTTAATAGTGGCCAAAGCCTTTAGGCAACATGAATAAATATTAATAATCAACTCGTAATTCTTTTGGCCTCATTACCTGTAGAAATATATTAAGTTTTAGTGTGTGTGTGTGTGTGTGTGTGTGTGTGTGTGTGTGTGTGTGTGTGTGTGTGTGTGTGTGTGTGTGTGTGTGTTGTGTGTGTGTGTGTGTGTGTGTGTGTGTGTGTGTGTGTGTGTGTGTGTGTGTGTGTGTGTGTGTGTGTGTGTGTGTGTGTGTGTGTGTGTGTGTGTCTGTGTGTGTGTGTGTGTGTGTGTGTGTGTGTGTGTGTGTGTGTGTGTGTGTGTGTGTGTGTGTGTGTGTGTGTGTGTGTGTGTGTGTGTCTGGGTGTGTGTGTGTGTGTGTGTAGTGAGCTGCTCCAGTGTTACAACATATCACCAACACGTCCGTGGCAACTCTCACAGGACCAGACCAAACGGGTACATATGGATTGAGAGAAAAATTTGGTAGTGGCAAGAGTAAAAATTTTCTAAGAGTTCCAACATCAATTTATAGTACCGTAGTGTCGTGACGTCTGAGCCCAGGGAACTCTGCCCACAATAAACATACTAAACCCAAAGGACGGTACTTTTAGCACACATGCCCTATATCTTTGGTATAACATGAAAGATGACAGGTAAAAATATTCGTTAAAGCTATGTATGACATTTCAAACTTTGTGTACAACAAAATATTCTCTCGTAACATAATAGAAATAAGGAACGTCTCGTGTACTACAAAATTCAGGAAAACTCCCACAAGAACCATAAATCACATAATAAAATAAGTCTGTAGGTTTATTATCAACAAAAATGAGATAATAAAAGTGCACAGAACTTACTACATTACTGTACTAAGTATAAATACATACTAACTGATGACATGCAACTTAAAAGCACCAGAACTAAGTGTGTGTCAATGATATACAACAGCACAGGTAAAACTATCATAAAAAACTAAAAATATTAATTAATTTAACACCATAAAGGAAGAGCACAAGTGAGGACCAACTTAGATAACCAAGACTGATTCTCTACATGTCTCTGGGGGCCGTGTGTTAGTGCGGCCTCCTAGTAACAATGTACTAATCAGAATCTTGGTTAAAATTTGAACCCAAAAGATTTTACTTTTGCAGATCCCTAAAGTGCTGTTCTTGTATAAATGTTCAAAACCACAAAGAAATTAATAGTCCAAATTCTACAATACTTGACAAAATCATAAGACCAAATCTTTTAAATCACGTTACAAATAATAGACCTGGGTTGAGTCCTTTTCACTTTAGGTCGCCCGACAGAACGCCGCGACGAAGGGAGACGACCAGACACAAAAACAATTACATGATGACGCAATTTGTCTTCTTTTTATTCTTCTTGGGTCCGTCCATTGGGGGAGAATCACGTATGATGCGCACCACCTGTGGGGTAATGAGCTGGGTAATGGCTGAGAGATCTGTGCCGGCCTGCTGCACCAAACACAAGAACCTACTATAATTAATACTGGTTTATGGTCCACAACTTACCCAATACCTCTACCTAGAATGTTTACTATCAACATATTTACAGGTAGGTTAGGTTAGGGTAATAGATTAGGTTAGGGTAGGATGGTTAGGTTAAGACTAAAGATATCTTTGTAAACAGCAACCTACACTAGGACCACGAGCTGTTAATAACTGAGAGAGAATACTTTACACAATACACCATGACCCCAACTGAGGAGCCATGATAAAAGAAAATTAGAATTTAGGCATAGAAAATGGGCCTATATAAATCTGAAGCACTGAACAATAACCTGAAGAACCTATGTGATCACTTAAGTGGAACATGTGATCACTTAAGGGAACCATGTGATCACTGAAGGGGTACTACCTTGGCTCAACAATAAAATCCTTTACTGTACTTCACCACTGTGATGCTGAACCAAGTTATGATTAAAATGATGTTTTTGGCCACACTTGTTTCCATTAAGTGACTTTACCTCACCCTACATCTCCACTGGTTAGCCTACAATGAATACTCTCACAAACAAAACTCTAATAAAATAAAAACATAAGTCACTTTCAAAAAATTCGTCGTCTCTTAACTTCGTACTCGACTTTCTTCTCTAATTTATCTATACGAGTCATTTTTACGATCGATTATATAATAACGGTTGCTCCTCGTGTAACGGGGATGGTCGGCCTGAGGGCCACCTAGGCGTGAATATGTTTAAGGTGTAGAAGCTGTTGACAACACAACGACCACACCCTGAGTTAACGTGCTTCACGACCCAGTATCAAGGAATAGTCCAAGAAGACTGGAAAACTCGCCAACTGCACTGGCTAACCATTACCCCGGAACACGATCCACAAATCGATTAGCATCCGGGTCCCCAATTACTGCTGGGTAGACAGAGGCAAATGGCGTAAAGAAACTTGCCCAAAGTTTCACCCTGCCTGGGGATCGAACCCGGGTCCACTCGCTTGCTGAACATTACAGCACAGGTCACACAATCAATTGTATATCGCACAAGAGATAGTTACATACACAGGGTGGCCATAAATAATCTGACCCATTTTAAAAACTAATAAAATTCAAAACATTATAGACAGATCATGTCGGTTTTATCATACTTGACGAACTAAGGATAAAAGACCTATGAGCCGTCCTCCAAGTATAATACAATGAGAATGTTCCATCTACAGTATAATAATATATATAAGTTTATTAAATCTTAAAATGGGTTAGATAATAGAGGGTCATTATTTTATTCAACAACCCTAAATGGTTACTGTATTTTAAGACGTGGAATAAACAGGAACCTAAAAATCAGTAGGAACAAAGTCTGATCATTGCAAAGAATATTTATATTCTTCGCAATGATATGATCAGATTTTATTGCACATCCTAAAATACAATAAATCATTTGGGATTCTCAAATAAATAATAAACCTGTATGTCATGTGATAGGGGTTGGGGCTAAGGTAATATATTTACTCCAAAAAAGTACAAACAAAGCACACGGTCACCTCATGAAAAGCCGAATCCACATTGAGGGGCGGATCTTTGGCGCTGGTCTCTATATAGGAAAGGTTCAGTCTGTGGGCCAGTTCCCGTCCCATCTCCTCCGTCACTTTGCGCATGTGAACCAGATCCACCTTGTTGGCCACCAGCAGCATCGGGTAAGACTCTCTGCGGAAAAAAGAGAGAAGCCATCAGACGAGACCCCAGCGAGGATATACTGGACTGGGGTGCCTCAACTAATATCATCTTGCTTGGGGATGTGTACCAGACTATCATGGGAGTGTTCACAAGTTTATAAACACTCTCTTGCTTGAAGCCCCCTTTTTTTAAACTGTCACAATTGCTGTATGAACACTCTCAGAATGCTTCAATGGATGGGTGTCTGTCTGTTTGTCTGAGGAGGTGGAGGAGGGAGTGAGTGCTACCCCCGCTCTCTCTTTATTTTTGGTTCTGCTACTGCTACTAGGAGCTGTTAGGGTGGAGGAGGCAGATTATTATTTAAACTGCCTACATGATCTAAAACAAAGTCGTTAAAGGAAGGAAGGAAGGAAGGAGGAAAAGGAAGGTAAGGAAGATAGATAAATATATACTTGTGAGGAGGAGGAGTAGAAGGAAGACACTCAGTAGGGAGGAACTAATCTGCAGGAGGCAAACCTATTATAAGACTACTGGACAGAGGAGGAGGAGGAGATACAACAACTGGATCGGACAGAAGAGCAAGAGTTTCAACTTTTGTCCCGGTGAGAGATGAAGACCGTGATTCAAGATGGATGGCGGATGATATAATGACAATGACTAGGTTAATTTATGTCAAGGTGGATGATAGAGAATGATGATGAATAGATGGATGAGTAGATGTATTGATGGGTGGATAGACGGGTGGTTTAATAGGGTTGATAGACTGGTGGATGGATGGAGTGAAGAAGAAGAGAAAGGTGAGAAATACAAACAAGACTTTTTTTCTTACACAGAGAATACAGTACAATACAGTATAGGGGGAAAAACAGGGAAAAGGTATGTCAGGCATAATACTTACAGGACTCTCCTATAAAATGAAGCAGGAACGAAGATAAACACGTCATGACAAAAGGGAGGCGTGAGCACATGGTTCAAACAAGTCAAGAAATATGAGAAAACAACAACAACAACAACACACATTTATGACATCCAGATCTGCACTCTCATAAACCAACGGATAAACAATTACAGTCGATATATATATACATATACACACACAGTAGATGTATGCCCGTTAACCCGAGAAAATCGACCAGACGCTTGATTTTGTCATCTTTGCGTTTATTTCGTTTTGTCCCGTTTTATTAGGGGCAAATTTGTGACTGGAGTAAAGTTTAGGTGATGGATAAGATCACCTGAAGATTAGATTATAAACACCTGGGCTTAATTTCACCCAACCTGAAGATTAACCACCTGAGAGGGTTTGGGTAAGTTGGGGTTTGGTTATATGAGGTTAGGTTAAGGTAAATTAGGTTTGGATAGGTTAGGTTAAGGTAGGTTAGTTTAGGTTTACAGTGGTTAACCTTCAGGTAAAAAGCAGGGGCATCTAATGTTCAGGTGATACTTAGTTACTTAAGTAGGGTTGTTAGAGGTACAGGAGTATTAAGGCCACAAGCTGGACGACATAATGACCACAACACCCACCAGAGCCAGCGTCACAAGGGAGTGCTGTAGGTCGGGAGATTTTAAAGTATTCATACACACACTAACACCAGTAGGGTGATTCACCTTACATGGAATCACGACTTATTTACATGCATGCATAACTGTAATAACTGTAGTGTGTGTGTGTGTGTGTGTGTATGTATGTGTATGTGTGTGTGTGTATGTGTGTGTGTGTGTGTGTGTATGTGTGTGTGTGTGTGTGTGTGTGTGTGTGTGTGTGTGTGTGTGTGTGTGTGTGTGTGTATGTGTGTGTGTGTGTATGTGTGTGTGTGTGTGTGTATGTGTGTGTGTGTGTGTGTGTGTGTGTGTGTGTGTGTGTGTGTGTGTGTGTGTGTGTGTGTGTGTGTGTGTGTGTGTGTGTGTGTGTGTACATACTCACCCTCTCATCTTCCAAGTGTTCCAAACATAATGCCAAACAAGCCTCAGCTATAATGTTTTTGAAAGCACATTGAACCAGACTTGAGTTATGAAAATAAAAATAATAATAATAATAATAATTCTGCCGACAAAAAAGAAAAAGCTTTAAGAAATCACAAGTGTTGTCGTGTTCAACTAAATGGAAGAGATATTCATACTCATATTCATTTTATGCACTCTACTTTTATCAATAAAAACAACTGCATCACTAATTATACATGCAAATTCTAAAGAAAAAAAATATATATATATATTGTGCTCTCTTATTTACACAAAAGGCATCCTGTTAACACTGATTGAAGGATTAGTTGGTGTTTAAGTACTAAATATATATACATAAGTCACCCTCTCTCTGCAAGCAAAACAACAGCATTCTGCAAATAGAAATTATGTCCAACAAATGTCTCTTAGAATCATAACCTGGAAACAGCCACAACCATTACCTCTGAGGCGATTATATTAGTGTTAGGTATAAAAGCGTCACAAACAGTTAGCAGTTTCTCTCTCTGATTACGTTACTACCAAAACCTGTAAACATCTTCAGCCTGACACAACATGAGACTTTTCTGGAGAGTACCGGCACACTTGTGATGCCAGTAGTCCCTCCACCAATGATTTATATATGATGCCATTGGGAGCAACAGATGGTGATGCAGTTGTATAGGCCCTCCTGACTATACACTATATTGTACTAGGAGTAGCAGCCAAGGAAAACTATATACTGTAGCTATGTCTAATAGATCTGTTGTGACACTCCACCCTCACACTACCACATAGCCCATCAAGTAATAGAACACCCTATTATACAGTGTATCTAAGTAATCTACTGATAAAAAGCACAACTATTGATTCATTAACAACAATTACATGATAAAAAATTCTAAAAAAGAAAAGAAAAAGAAAACAATATCCGATTTGCAAAAGACTAGCGCCCCGCACCATCACCCAAAGACATGGTTGTTTCCTCTCTGCCTTTGTGAAATAATGAACCGGTTTATGGGGTGTTGAGGTTGATGAAATAAGGAGAATCAAACAGAAGATGACTGACAGTTGCTTATCTTCAGTAACATGACACACACACTGACACAGCCAAGATCATGATCCAAAACAAAAGCAAATGGCAAGAGGATGATGAGTGGTAAGGACCCAAAAAAAGGCACACACACACACACACCAAACTAATAACAAACAATAAAAATAAAGGCAGAACAGTAGCTAGATTGATGAAGCATCCATAACAATGCTTCTCTTGCTCCCTGACAATGGAAAATGTAAACTCGTCCACAACATGCTGCTGCCCCCCCCCCCCCACACACACACTAAAGCCAACACAGCACAATACACCTGGTCTAAATATATATCAAGTCGCAGCCATAAATCACACATCTCTCCCATAACTCATGCTGGTTATTGCATCTCCCGGCGAGACTCCTTTTTTGAGCCAGTGACCGCTTACCGATCTTTGACGCGTAGGATCTGGGTGTAAAAGTGTGGTATGTTTTCGTAGCTCTGCTTGTCCGTCACGGAGTAAACCAGCATGAAGCCGTCTCCCTTCCTCATGTACTGTTCCCGCATGGCACTGAACTCCTCCTGGCCCGCAGTATCCAAAACTGTTAACACATACAAGGAGTATATACACCTGTAACAATAGAACTGCAGACAATATTTTCTTAGGTTCCCGGTGATTACAAATGATCTTCCCGATTTTAAATGTTATGAACAGACTAACACAGGTACTTTTCTTTATAGAAACAAGTTTATTCAGCAAAGAGAGAGACTCCTGCACACAAGGGGCTAAAAGCACTGATGTGGGATTCAGTGAGTACTGTTTTGTATATAATTCAGTTATCTTGTAATATTTGAAGAAATTGAACACAGAAGTAATGAGACACACAAAAGACCATCACATTTACCTTATTTACCCAATGGCCACCCACTAGAGGTCTTGGCCAGGTGACTTACTAACACTACACATTTCTTTACCTATGTAGAAAAAATCAAATCAAATCAAACTAACTTTAAATGATTCCACTTTAAGATGTTCCTTGGACTCACCATCAAGAATACACCATTGGGCGTCTACCTCGGTGTGCTGGATGTACGAGTCTTCGATGGTCGGGTCGTAGTCAGTCACAAACAGCCGTTGGAAGAACTGAATTGTGAGTGCAGACTTGCCTACACCACCATCCCCGACCACTACCAGTTTGAACGTGGGCAGTTTGTCTGATGGTGGTTTAGACATTCTGCTGCTGTTTGTGCTGCCCGACCCAGAGGAGGGCTGGCGTCCCCTTCCCAGTATTGCTGCTCGTCTCGCTCCTCCTTACTCTTCACCCCCGTCCCCCCCCCCTCTCCCTGACACGCTGCTATTCACACCTACAACAACAGATACAGTGGTTATAACCCTAAAGAAGAACATTCTAACATAAATAACAAGGATACATATCATGAATTTGTCTTCAATCTCAGAGAAGACTTGAGATCTATGTTCACCGATGATAACCTACATGTGGGTGTTACCGAGATATTCCTAAATTTATTTTAAAAAGTGCATAGAAATTAGCGAGCAAACCTTACTGCTGATGTTTGGAAGTCATTTCTGATAAACATGTACAGGTCAGTTGTGACATATACAGCACAGTAAACAGAGCACATGACAACAGAGACACCTGTTGATCTTCTCAAATACAGGTGTTACAGTCATCATCTGGGTTAAACAATTACTGTATTCTTGTTCTCTCTCTGTTCATCATCATACAAAGTGACAAACAAATCTGGAGGGAGGCAGGAAGAGAGAGCCTAATATCCATACAACTTCCAAAAAGGTTGAAGCGTTGTCACCTTATGTAGCCAACAGTGGAGGAAGTGGAGGCAGCAGGAGGTGGGGTCGCAGTAACACATATACTGGAACTCCGCAACACACTGCACCACCGTCTGAACATGGAGGTGTTAACATGGCCAGCTCAACCTGCAACAGCAACACAGTATGGTTACCACTAAACATTTGACCCATCCATGACCCAATCCACCATCGGGATCCTAAATCATTACATTATCTATGAAGAAGTGGAAGTGCACTATTTAAGGTTAGGTTAGGTAGGTAGGTTGGTTGGTTGGTTGGTCAAGAGTGTTTTTCTGTTATTAACAGTTCACATGAGAAGTATGCCGGCTTTGAAGGTTGCATGGTGTTATGACCTTCACTAGTGAGTGCGTCAACATGGCAGAGATGATACTTGAGTTGACATTTTAAAGATCAAAAACAGGTTTCTTCTTTATAATTTTGTCCTAAAGTGACTGTTGTAAACTATACCTGGTATACAGTACATATTGAATCACTGTAAACTTATATGATGATTACATTGTATATTAATCATTCTAACTCAAGTCCTTCACAGTGCAGTGAGTGATGACCCACCCTCACCTCACCTCACCACACCTCACCTCCCCATATGTCAACCATCTCTTAAAAATATTAAGACAAACAATTAATCATCGTCCGAATGACAGTATCAACCTGTACACTCCACCAAGGAAGTGATATATAATGACCTGTAGAATACCAGGTGATCAGTACACCAGGAGAACAACACACCAGGTAACCAACCAACACACCAGGTAACCACCACACCAGGTAACCAGCCAACACACCAGGTAACCAACCAACACACCAGGTAATCAACCAACACACCAGGTAATCAACCAACACACCAGGTAACCAACCAACACACCAGGTAATCAACACACCAGGTAACCAATAACCAACCAACACCAGGTAACCAACACCAGGTAACCAGCCAACACACCAGGTAACCAACCAACACACCAGGTAACCAACCAACACACCAGGTAATCAACACACCAGGTAACCAACCAACACACCAGGTAACAACCAACACACCAGGTAACCAGCCAACACACCAGGTAACCAACCAACACACCAGGTAACCAACCAACACACCAGGTAACCAGCAACACACCAGGTAACCAGCCAACACACCAGGTAACCAACCAACACACCAGGTAACCAACACACCAATCAACACACCAGGTAACCAACCAACACACCAGGTAACCAGCCAACACACCAGGTAATCAACCAACACACCAGGTAATCAACCAACACACCAGGTAACCAACCAACACACCAGGTAATCAACCAACACACCAGGTAACAACAACCAACCACACCAGGTAACCAACACACCAGGTAACCAACACACCAGGTAACACACCAGGTAACCAACACACCAGGTTACAACACACCATAATCAACCAACACACCAGGTAACCAACCAACACACCAGGTAATCAACACACCAGGTAACCAGGCAACAACCACAACCAACAACACCAGGTAACCAACACACCAGGTAACAACACCAGGTAACCAACACACCGGGTAAACCAACACACCAGGTAACCAACACACCGGTAACCAACACACCAGGTAATCAACCAACACACCAGGTAATCAACCAACACACCAGGTAATCAACCAACACACCAGGTAACCAACCAACACACACCAGGTAACAACCAACACACCAGGTAACCAACACACCAGGTAACCAACACGCAGGTAACCAACACAAGGTAATCAACCAACACACCGGTTAATCGGGTAATCAAACACAGGTAACCCAGGTAACCAACACACCAGGTAATACACCAGGTAACCAACACACCAGGTAATCAACCAACACACCAGGTAACCAACCAACACACCAGGTAATCAACACACCAGGTAACCAACCAACACACCAGGTAACCAACACCAGGTAACCAACACACCAGGTAACCAACACACAGGTAACCAACCAACACACCAGGTAACCAACCAACACACCAGGTAACCAACACACCAGGTAACCAACACACCAGGTAACCAACCAACACACCAGGTACACCAGGTAACCAACCAACACACCAGGTAACCAACCAACACACCAGGTAACCAACACACCAGGTAACCAACACACCAGGTAACCAACCAACACACCAGGTAACCAACCAACACACCAACCAACACACCAGGTAACCAACCAACACACCAGGTAACCAACCAACACACCAGGTAACCAACCAACACACCAGGTAAGGTAACCAACACACCAGGTAACCAACCAACACACCAGGTAACCAACACACCAGGTAACCAACCAACACACCAGGTAATCAACACACCAGGTAACCAACCAACACACCAGGTAACCAACCAACACACCAGGTAACCAACCAACACACCAGGTAACCAACCAACACACCAGGTAATCAACACACCAGGTAACCAACCAACACACCAGGTAACCAACCAACACACCAGGTAACCAACCAACACACCAACCAATCAACACACCAGGTAACCAACCAACACACCAGGTAACAACACACCAGGTAATCAACACACCAGGTAACCAAAACACACCAGGTAACAACCAACACACCAGGTAACCAACCAACACACCAGGTAACCACCCAACACCGCAGGTAACCAACCAACACACCAGGTAACCAACACACCAGGTAACCAACACACCAGGTAACCAACCAACACACCAGGTAACCAACCAACACACCAGGTAACCAACCAACACACCAGGTAATCAACACACCAGGTAACCAACCAACACACCAGGTAACCAACACACCAGGTAACCAACCAACACACCAGGTAACCAACACACCAGGTAACCAACACACCAGGTAACCAACCAACACACCAGGTAACCAACACACCAGGTAACCAACACACCAGGTAACCAACACACCAGGTAACCAGTAACACTCTGACCTACACCTACTAGTGACTAAATCAATTCTCTCCTCCGCCTTCACCTATAATATACACCAATGACGCAACACTTACACACTACAAGTCAATAATTACAACAAACACTCATCAATAACATTAATAAACCTTATATAAGTTTATGTAGACGTAATAACAATAAAAGATCCAACATCATCTTCCTTCCATCATCCTCACCTGACATCATCTCCTTCCTCTCATCTTAACACCTATATTCTCCTCATCATTCATCCCACTACTCAATATACATCTGTGTAATGTATAGGTGGATACTTATTAATGACGTGTGTGGTAGTTTACTCACCAAACAACTCCAGCACGAGGGAGATTAATGTATTTCACCTCTACCGTCGACTCCCTCACAGGACGTCCATTTGTTTTCCTTACCACTCAGATATTATTGGAAGGTCTGACTCACTCTATTCTAACTCATTCTCTATCTTTATATTACATCAAACTTACTATTATTAATTTTATATGAGTTTTAATTAAATATAAAAGGTGATATAGGTGTTTAAAAGTGAATTAGTAGTGAAATAGAGTTGTGGTAAAATCAATAAGATAGGTTGATAGACTCTCATAAGCCTCAGTAAAATATCCCATTACAGATCCATAATATTAGTCATTATTTACTCCTTTATTACCTCTATATTACACCTACAGGAGACTATTATTATTATAACTACAGTACACATTAACATACAGATCTTTAACTCCACATATAAACATTAACCACTTGTTTAGTTTATTCATAAGAAATTTATTTAGAATAATATTTATTTTATGGGGATATTTATGTAATAGCTATATATATTTACAATTAGTTCTTTATTTATTTATATTAAGATATATTTAACATAAGAGAAGAATTTAGACAGGTGTTAATTCTGTTAGTGTTTATATTTTATTATTAATGTCTAAGGAAACTCTACTATATTTTTATAACTAAGAATAGATTTAGAGATTTATTTTGATAATTTGACTAACAGTATAATGATAAAAATATCATTCCATTTACATTAACCTTATCTACCTCTACGATAGATATAATTCCTAAAAATTTTAAAATACAATAAATTACAGTACAGTGTAATTTACTGCATCATTTAAGTCTATAATTAAACTTACTCTTAATCACCCTTTCATATGTAAGACAAATATACATAGAGATATATAAAGGTAATCACTTGTATATAAAGTACTGAATGACCTTGAGATAACCAGCAGGTAGTCCTTCAAGGTGATAACTTACACCTCTCTCTGATTATATTACCCAAACTACAGGTCCAAACTGTCATCAACTAACCCATCCTCCTTCTGTGACATCTAAGACCCGTGTATAGGAATTACAGGACATATTAAGAAGAAAATTAACCTTTCTCCCGTATTTATCTGTGAACAGAGTGGTAAGGGTCTTTGCCAATCACAAGTGTGTTGCAAGTAATGCTTATTGCAGTGTTTGTGTTATGACGTGTAGTTACAGCAGTGTATGAGTGTAATTTGAACACCTATAAGTAGAGTTAGTAATTGTGTCTGTTTTTAATATTATTTACCTTAAAGACCTGTTACTATATGCTAAAACCATTATTCTCGAAGGGTTAAACCATCTCCTTCAGAGTAAAACCACCATCATTCAAGGGCTAAACACCATCAAAGGGTTAAAACATCATCATCAAAGGGCTAAATATCATCTAAGAGTTATACCAACATCATCAAAGGGTTAAAACATCATCATCAAAGGGTTAAATATCATCTAAGAGTTATACCAACATCATCAAAGGGCTAAAACATCATCATCAAAGGGCTAAATATACCAACATCATCAAAGGGTTAAATCTCATCAGGGTTGGTTAAGTTAGGTTAACATTAAGATGAAATAAAAAAGGGTGGATTATTTTCAGGTGATCCATATAAGATAATCAAATATTAAATTCATGTAAACTATATTTCCTGAAAAATCTCCCAACACATTTTTATTTTGCAGCGCGTTGTCGACGATGGTGGTCTTGTCGGTACTTGACAGAGGCTTACGCACCTACAATGGATGCCTGTATGCTCAGCCTCTCCTCACCAAAGCTTGCACCAGGTAATTATTTATTTATTTGTGGAGTCCCTGTATGCTTCCTGTTCTATATGTTACTGTTTGCTCCCTGTTCCCGTATGCTCCCTGTTCCCGTATGCTCCGTTCCCGTATGCTCCCTGTTCCTGTATGCTCCCTGTTCCTGTATGCTCCCTGTTCCCGTATGCTCCCTGTTCCCGTATGCTCCGTTCCAGTATGCTCCGTCTGTTATATTCACATTTCTATCCCATCACCTGATACCTTTTAACTTGTATTTTATTTTTGTTTCTGTATAATTTATAAGAAGCATCAACATTCTATCTCTGGATTAATTCAGCTAACCTAAGGTAACCTTTAATATATGTACACCACTTCTGTCTGTAACAAATTGAAACTTTTCAGTGCGTTTACTGGGGCCCTCGGAGACTTTTTGGGCCAGCTCATAACAAGACAACCGTCCATCAATTTCTACAGTATGGCAAGATATGCGTCATTTGGGTGAGTCGGAGAAGGTCTTGTTCTTGTAGAATTGTTCGCTGTATTTTCTTAAACGGTAGCCATCATCAGTGGAGGCTAGTTAGAGGGACAGCGGCCATTATTACTGGACGTTTTGGGATTCTTGCATTCTATTTTTGTGGATTGTGGAGTGGAATAGGGAATCCTTACGCTTCATTCAGTGTAATTTGAGAACAGATATACAGGGTGTAAATCTTGTTTCTCCTTTAAACTTTTTCTGCCAGTATCTCAGTCCATTTGTATTATTATTATTATTATTATTATTATTATTATTATTATTATTATTTTGTGCACTTTGTTGTTGGAGGATTTTTCTTTTTCAATATTTAGTCATTCCTTTATATGTGTACCTATATTAAGGTACTTGAGGATTGTCCATGTACAGGTTAATTTTTGGTCCACCAGGTTTTTTGTGACGGGACCATTGGCTCATAACTTTTACAAGAAGATAGACAAATTGGTGCCGGCCACAGAACGAGGGGCAGCCATCAAGCGCCTCCTGGTAGACAGACTCATGTTTGCTCCTCTCCTCCTCCTCCTCTCCCTTTACCTTCTCTCCAGGCTTGAGGTTGGTGGTGTTATGATCTTAGTACTGTACAACTTTTCTTTTTTTAATTTATCCTTCACCACATATCAGCTTACTGGGAGTCCAACCCTTGACATATTGGCGAGATTAATTTATTCTCATATCATGTAAGCAATCTTCTCATGGTTAGGCAACAAGTGGCTAAATTGCCTTCTATTTCTATAGCTGAGTCCTCTGTTTTCCCAGTTACAGTACTAGTATGTAAAGGAAGGATGGGTAGAATTACCTGAAAATTCCCACCAAAGAAATAAAATTTGCAAGTAGGTTCCAGTGTTTCCTCTCCTGAAAACAACACATGTCACTTTACACACACGGTGGGCAAGGAGAATAGATCTGCCAGTCAGGAGTGAGAATGTGTCCCTCTAAAGGCTAGCAGGACAGTGACCACACAGGGAAGGTCAGCGATCTCTTCAGCTCAGCAGGTGTACACACCAGTGGCCTTCATGACTTCAAGACACACAACATAAGTACTGGACACTCACTCACACAGTGATGTATTTGCTTGTGTAATATAAACTGTACAGTTCATTATTAACCCCTTTAATCTGCATCACATTAGCAATATACAGTACTCACAGCTGCCATACATTACTGTATATAAAATGTCCTTAGTAGTAACTTGGGAAAATATGTACATTGTAACAAATAGTTTTATTTGACTTTTGATTGTCACCTTTGCTTCTTTTCCTTACCAAATTAATCAGTTTATCACATAATCAAAAGAGATATCTATATTTTTCCTTTTCCCTCCAGGGCAAGAGTCACCGCACCTGTGCAAATGAGATCCAGCTAAAATATTGGGCGGCGCTCAAGATGAACTGGAAAGTGTGGACTCCTGTGCAGTATATAAATATCAACTATATTCCTCAACAGGTAAATATTTATTGCAGGATATTATTTGGTTATGGAGTAAAAACCATGTAGGAAATATTCTCGGTATCGTCTATGTCTCATAAGAGTGTGGGGTTGGATTCATGCCTCTTGTCATGGGTAAATAAACTCCCCAAGAAGGTGCTGGCAGCTACACACACACGCTCAGCACCATTTAGTTAGTAATAGACTACTGTGTTCATGCCACCAACCCAGAGAAGCTCTATCTTGGAAGTACTGCACAAAATAAAGATTGTGTTCTTTAATATTAAATTGTCATGCTGGGATTCGTCTTTTTCATAGTTCACAAAGATCATACATCATCATCATCTTCACAGCTTCATTTAATATAAATGCTGTGTGTTAAGTTGGTGAGGCAAACAATCCTACCCTTCAGCCTCCTAAACACAAGATATATAACATGTGTGTAGGTATAGAATGTGTATATAACATGTGTGTAGGTATAGAATGTGTATATAACATGTGTGTAGGTATAGAATGTGTATATAACATGTGTGTAGGTATAGAATGTGTATATAACATGTGTGTTGGTATAGAATGTGTATATAACATGTGTGTTGGTATAGAATGTGTGTTGTAACATTATACTAAGTTAAACATCTCCTCAGTACCGTTCACTCTTCGCCAACTGTGTCGCTGTCTTCTGGATCATCTACCTCACCAACAAGAGGAGACAGGCTGCTGCTGCTGCATCTAAAAGTGACTAAACTATAACTAAACTTAAAGAAAAATCTATAAAGGTAAATGAAGTAGTTGAGGAGTTTACTTTGTGATCAAGATGAAGTGGAATGTATGGGAGAAACGTAGAGCTTAAAATACCCCACATGTTAATAAGTTGTAAACACTAATACTGGACAGGAGTTTTTTTCTTCTCAATTTTATTTGACTATTAGTAGGTTAAGTGGTCTGGTGTACAGATCAATTCTAGTGTCATGAATCTTCCTGTGGGTGTTAAAGAGTAGCTGTAATGCTTATAAGTACCTTGGGGTGATAAGTAGTGTGGACCACTAAGTAGGTTGGACCGATAAGTACAATAGTGTGGGCCATCAACTAGTATGGACCAACCAAATCCCATTGTTTTATAGAAAGTAGTACACTATTACTACAGGTGGTACCATGATAAAAATTCACCATTGCGATCACTCCTTAAATACAGTCATTACTGTTTCAAAAGGTAAGATTAATATACTACAAAACTCTCCTTCCTTCATTTCAGTACTGTATTGTGTAACCTCAGTCATACAGATAAGTTTCCTACAACAGTTGTGTAAATAAATACTTCATAAATCTCGGTTTTATTCATTATCACCTTCACTACAGGGACAACACTTTTATTTGGCTAATGCTGAACAATTTTATTATGCTCAGAGGCAACCCCAAACACAGGTGGCTAATATCTTGTTTTGATTTAGGTTTTACCGAGTTATATTTTAGTGTTATCCGACCAAAGACTGTGTTCATGTATATTCAACTCCTCATATTTGTTTCTTTATAAAATTTGAATCACAATAACTGGCAGTCAACGGCACAGTGGGACATATTATATACTACGGTCTCCTCTTTGTCTCTGATCAGTCGGCCTGTTCGCTGCTCAGGCATTGAATTAGATATATGAGCAATTTAACCCCTTGTGTACAGGGTCCCCTCTCTGCTGAATAAAACTGTCGGGTATAATCCAAATAAAATATTAAAGCAGCATCCTGTAGTGAAGGGGTTAAGTGTGTACAGTATTTGATGAAACCTTGAGGATGAACTTTATAATCACTCTACTTTAGTGATGATAGACAACCTGTGATGATTACTTGTGGTGTTGGGTGAGGAATTCTAGTTTAAGTCTGTAATATATTTTTGTGATGTTGTGTGCCATATAAACTCTACAGTACAGTATATTCTCCATTCAGGTTCAGTTTAATTCACAGTGTCACATTGTAGACGGTGTGTGTCATAAGAAACACTAATTATACTTGTCTATGTACTTAATATTGTGATGGTTTAGTTAGGTCTTAAAGTTGTCACTTCTCCCTCAATATTTTGTTTACGTGTGCGGCCACAATAGATATATATACTGTACAGGCATACCTCGACTGATAAAGGTTCCATGTTACAAAACCTTTCATAAATTGATCCTTCGTTATTCATGGGACGGCTGTTTTTTGTACTTCATTCCAATGAATCGTAATGTCTTTGTGAATTTCTTCTTGCAGTGTACATGCGTCCCTAGATTTCCAAAAGGAGATCCACCCCTGAAAAAAACCTTTGTAAGTTAAGAGATGCCTGTACTGTCCTGTATTAAGAGAAAAATATAATCAAGAAACAGTAGACTTATCATACATCGTAGTTCACAGTTCAGTTGTTGGCGGAATTCCATCAACGTTTTTGGTAATGTTGGGCGTCTCCTTGAGGGACACGTAGGTAAGGTGGGCTTGGGGGTTTAACATATACCTATTAATAACTGTTGCTACATCAGGATCATTGAAATGAAATTAATTTTTATATAGGAAGATAAACTAAAAAAAATGGCCTTCAATGGTTATGTTCAATATGTATTAATTATTGAAATAAAAGATACTAAACAACTTTGTATATAACTGATAACATTAGAGGAAGATATCAGACTTTTTAATCCAGACCTCGATCATCTTCATGGCTCCAGTGTTAGTACAGATCCTGACCGCCTCACTACACGCCACTTACCAGACTTCATACCTCTGACTCCTGCCAAACAACAGAGCCTGCTATGTGTGTGGGCACACTGCGCATCACAAGAGGTGTAGAAAAGACACTCGGGTGATGTGTAAGGGGTGCAGTGTTGAGCTGTGTCACATTCCTTCCTCTGGCGAGTACCACGACACACTGCAAGAGTTTTGAAACACTCCTGCAGTGTGTTCATTTGTAGAGTGCTGTATACCGTTCAGAGTAACAGTTACAGTTGTTTTATGAGTACCATATAAGTAGTTTGTAAATGAACCAAACAAGCAAGCCAGCACAGCACAGGTATTCCTGCCTCTCACACAGCAGTTTCAACATTACCACATGTTTATGTCAATAAATTAAAGTTCATGTGAAGAAAGTTTTTTTTTCATACACCCATCACATAAAAATATACAGTATATGAATAATTGAATAAGATAAAAAAAGAGAAATATGGAGGTGGGAAGTGAGGGTGTGGAGGTCAGACGGCCAGCAAGCTCACCACGTGGCAGCCAGTCTTGGCGATACGTCATAGACCTTTTAATTGCCTTAAGAATTATGTCACTATTTTTCCCTTGCTTTGTGGATGATTTGGGACCTATCTGGAGTGGTTTAGAAAATATAATTTTTTATGACCAGAGGGTGGGCATGAGGGTCTGGTACAGTGACGGGTTTATTAACACAACAGAACTCAAATTTTTAAATTGTGAACCCAGATCCTACAGGACCAGCATGTAAGAGAGTACAGTACAGTTCCTTTGTATGAATTTTGAACCAAATCCACATTTTGACCTCGGATGCTGAAACAATGGGTACGGTAATAGTCCAGTCGTCATTTTCACGATAAAACACATTTTCTTTGGAAACTGAAAACTAACATGTATAGAGCATAATGATGGTCTATATTACAGAGAAAATTTACATAAGGGCAGTTTAAAATTTATGGGCATTGCAAAAGTAATTAAACTTTCCTGGAGTCAATTGAATATGTAATTATCCAGATATTAAATTTTGGACAACAGATCCTTAATCAGTATGTTCAGGAGTAGTGTACCTATACTGAGATCTTGAAGAAAATTACACTGTCCACAAATTTAAAATTAACTTTATATACATTACCTCAGTAATATATTCTAAGTTCACCATTTAAACCGGTTAGTTTCACTTTACAGACAGAAGGCATTACTGTACCTTACATTTCAGCACACAAGATGTTAAAATTTTGTCATCCTTGATATACTAAATATACAAAATGCATTAATTTCCAATTCCAAGAGAAGTGTTTTATGGCCAAAAGAACACCAAAGCTAAGCTCTTGCTCTTCCTGACATAATCTTGACAATTTTGATTTTGTTCAAATCTTCAGTAATGTACAGTATAGATACTTCTTGACATGTTGATGCTTCACCACCATGTCAAGGAAAATCTTTACTGAGGATTTTAAAAATACCAAAGAAAACAAGCCATTACAGTACAGTATTAATTTTGTGGAGTCACTGTATACAGAGACATACAATAGCCCTTTCATATCACTTTCTACACTGGTCTTGAACTGTTACATAGATATGATACTCAAATACTGTACCACCTTTGATTAAATTTACAGTAATGTGTTCCTTCTATGGAAAGAAACTACAATTAAGTAAAAATTATCAAAAAATGATTTTGTTTGCCTTTAGTGTGGTGTAGAGGAGACAGTGCTGACCGACAACAGCTGCACGGCGACTCAACGTGTGCCGGCCAGGTCTTGATAATCTTCACATTAGTTAATAGGTGTTTGTTGGGTCCTAGATTGATCCTCACTAAACTTATATTGTAATAACCCCTTGTGTACGGGCTCCCCTCTGAGTTGAATAAAATCGTCTGCAGTTAACCAAATACACCTGTAAAATATTAACAGTGGCATCACTAAGGGGTTAATCTTCAAGAAGGTCAACTATGAATGGCTTAACATAATCACAAATCTCACTTCCATTCTCACACTACTTAACTCCTTCACTACAGGACGTCACCTTTAGTATTTTATTTGGCCTAATACTAGATGATTATATGGAGTCCTCGCAGCCAAGCAGTTAAGTTAACCTCTTACAACTTATGTTTCTACCTTTTAATATTGTACTGTACACATACTTGTTATATTCTGCCCTTATTGGCAAAGATTGATCTCATTCGGGTAAAATTGCAGTACACACCAGGCTAATTTAACTTATTCAAATATTTTATGAACTAATTTATTTATTTAACATTTCAACATGACAGGACAGAACCCAGAGGAGCTCTCACACACACAGTCAGTGAGAACAGTGACTGGTGTTGTTGTGGTCAGGGTGAGGAAGAATGATGGAGATTCACTTCAAAGAATCCTGAATAATGAAGTACAGTACTGTACCTGCACAGCAAAGATATACTATAGAATATTAACAAATATTCATAAGTAGTTAATAAATCATAATTTGGTCTTTGTTTATTTTTTATTGACAAACATTCAAGCTTCATTATTCACTTACAAAATTATAATCAATCAGTAAGTAAGGTGGTCCCTCGATAAACTAACGGTTCAATTAATGAAATTTTGGTTAACGAATTAGCTCCCAAAAGGATTTTCAGTTCCATTAACGAACAAAACTTCGATTAACAACAGCCTTACGAGAAACACGCTTTGTTGTGCGCATCAGCCAATACAGTAATCGGTTCTATGTTTACATTTGTTTCCAGTGGAGTAAATATCAAGAAAGTTGTGCTCTTGAATATTTCTGCATTTTTTATATTAAAATTATTGGTCATTCTGAAATTTAGTTAACATATTGATAATATACAGTGCAGAAATTATTATGAAACATGAAGAAGGCATTAGAACCAATGCACTCTGTAAAGAATATGGCATGTCATCATCGACTGCCTCTACAATCAGCTGCCGGGAATACGACATACACACCTCAAAGTACCCGTAAGTTAAAATATAGTATTCTATTGTTTTTTATTAATTATTATACAGTATACAGTACTGTACAGTACTGTATTTAGTTTATATTTAATGTTTTGTTAATTCTATTACCGGTATACAGTACTTTGTATGTATACTTTTTCTGTGAGTTGGAACCAATTACCCAATATCTAATTGACATAATAGATTCAGTTAACAAAATTTTCGGATAACAACAGACTCTGTGGAACCAATTGTGTTCGTTAATCGAGGGACCACTGTACTGTACTTTCTTTAATAAGTACGAGCTCTAACCTCTCATAAACCCAATCAATTATATTATTTTTTTTTTAAAAACGATCATGTCATCAGCCACGACAAGAGCCAACAAGAAAAACAATTTTTATACGGAATAATTCACCAGTTAGTTATTGTCTCAGCCACATTCTGCACAATACACTACTATAAACATACTGAACTACCTGCTAGATGCAATATATAAATACTGTACAGTTTATTCCAAGGCACACATGTATGCATTCTCTAAAGCCTTATTGTCACATTCTTCACACACACAATGTCATATCTGGTTCACAAACACACACATCTAAAACTTAAGGTCATAGGCACAATCTAATACACAATATGATGTACTCTGGTCTGTCTTTAACTAGAAAATAGGAAGATCATAAATAAAATCAAGAGCCATCAGTGGAATAACATCCCCATGACCTGTGACCCTACTGGAAACAAACCTCTGATTGCTTTGTTGGTCAGTCTTGGTCAAATTACCAGAATAAAGTACACAAGTGCAATACTACTGCTTAAAGGATTAACATTGTTTGTATACCTGCACTGTCTGGGTACTGTACATTGTATACCTGCACTGTCTAAGTACTGTACATTGTATACCTGCACTGTCTAAGTACTGTACATTGTATACCTTCACTGTTTTGTTACATTGTTTGTATACCTGCACTGTCTAGGTACATTAGTTGTATACCCACAAAACCTATGTACCGTACCGTACAGTACAGTACTGTATATACTTGTGTTGTCTATACACATACTGAACCACTGCTAAACTTGTATGACTATTGTACTGAATAAACATTATCCATTACTGAGTACAATGATCTACTGTACTGTACTGTTCCTGTATCTATGAAGGTCCTGTGTAGGAAGCTTCACTAAAATACCCAAGAGTGGACAAGACAAGGCTATGTCTAGGAATGGGTAGACAGACACACACACCAACAGCATAATCACTACACATCCTCATAAATTTTTGCGGCATCATTGCATATGACTGTAACCATGCATACATCGTTCAGTTCAGGGCTTACACACACACACCTGATAGCAGTCTCACCTATAAGGTTTTGTGACAATTAATGCACTTAAACATACATCATATAAACAGCCTTATGAAAGGACATTTGATCCCAGTATTAACGCTAGAGCTGCATTACCATAGTACAAAGATATCTCAATGTTCATTTTGAGCAATACTGCATCAGGTAACTATAAGGAGAAGTAACTGAGAGCAACATTCAGTGTATCATCAAAGCCTTATAGCATGCAGGAGTATTATGACTTAATCTAGCTGCCATTAAGTAAATTACAATAAGTAGTTTTAACATCAGGTACACAGAGACACAAACTGGCCTTATGGATAATAACTCAACCTTGCCTTTAAAAAATTACAAAATAATAATAAAAAATCTATCAAGCTTTTCTTATAACAGAACTAATAAATTTTGCCTCGAGTACAGTATATACAGTACTGTATGCTGCTACATAATACAGTACATAAATGAATACATACCTATAATTCTTCATCTTTGTAATCATACAGTAATGGTCCACAAAACTTGATGCATAGTTATAAAATATCTGGCTGGTGTGCAGCAATGTCATTCACTACAGCAGGTAACATGGAGAGCAGTGCAAAGACACCTGTGTGGGCAGCTGTGATTGTATGTGAGGTAGTGTAGTGACAGTCTGAGCATGTTGACTGTGTAGGGCCACCAGTATTACAGTGTGTAGGGCCACCAGTATTACAGTGTGTAGGGCCACCAGTATTACAGTGTGTAGGGCCACCATAGTAGTACAGTGTGTAAGGGCCCTCAGTACACTACAGTGGCCACCAGTGTTACAGAGGTGGGTGAACTCAAAAGCCAATATACAAGTAGGATCACTTATATACAATACAGTCTGGTGGGCTGGCGGCTCTGTAGCTTGATACTGTCCCAGAGCCAGGTAGTCGTCACCCTCCTCGTCTCTGTAGTACACTGTGGCAGCGTGGATGACACACCCTAGAGGGGGAGGGGGATGAAACACCGATTTATAATGTGTGTAAAGTAAGAGGTTGTAAAATGCAATCATAACATCCCTTCTACAACAGAAACTAAAACCTCACCCAGTGGAGGACAAGTTAACTAAGGAGGCCAACTCACCTGGTCAATAATGAGATGAGTAGCTTCATGTGACCTAAATTTAGGCAACACTTCTCCTCCATATCTGTAAATGTAGGTCAAGGAACAACCACCACAATTCACAAACAGTTTCAAGTAGATTCTATGGTACATTATTAGATGTAAAAAAATGTCCGTCTTTGAGTTTATATGTAAGTCAAACCAATCTTCTCTCATTGACGGGCCCTAAAACTGACCAAGGTGTTGAAACTGTGTCTTTTCTTTTTAACCTCTTGTGTATGGTATCCCCCTGAGCTTCATAAATCGTCTGGTATTAGCCAAATAAAATGTTAAAAGTGGCATCCCTGTAGTGAAGGGACGGCACAGCATAATTAAATTTTTAAATATTCTAAATATCTTTTAATTATTTCAAAGGTCATTAATTAGCAATAATTACTAAAAATGTTAAATTGTGAACCCAGATCCTTAATCAGCATGTATAGTACCCCTGTAGTACCTTGGTATGAAATACAGTATGAACAAAATCCATGGTATGATCACAAGTTCCAAAACGTAAAGTATTAATGTGAGGCAAACAGTATTCTGACGCCAAACGATTTTTTTGGGGGGAAAAGTGAAAACTAACGTGTTTATATTGTAAAGATAGTCTATATTTCTAAGAAAATGTATATAAAGGTGACTTAAAACGTATGGGCACAGAAGTTAATCATCTCAAACTCTCTATAAATCCAACACAAAGTTAACATAAGTAAAATCTTAACACCTCAGGGTGGGGGAGAGGCTTTACACAAGGACATAAATAGTCCGGCCCGGCCTTCCCAAGAATAGGTCATTGCTAATCACCTTTCTTGACGTTATCCTTGTCATCATCACTTCAAGGGAAACATTAACAATAGAAGGATTGTAATAACTGGTTGACTCCCATACCTGACCGACTGATTAAGGAACTGATTGATTGATGCTTTACTGAGTGGGATGATGACAAATTAATATATGGGATTACCTGAAGATTGGTCCCCTCTCCCAAGCTCATTTTATCATAAGATTAACCACCTTCCAGCTAACCTAACTTGAGGGGATTTCCACAGATTTTTGGGGATAATACAGATTTTAGGGTACAGTAATTTCAGGATTTCTATTTTAAATTTGATTTTAATAAGGTGAAAGCACCAATTTTGGGGGGAGAACAGATTTTTGTGGAGATTTTAACGATTTCTATTATAAACGGATTTTTTTCAGGGTAACAACACAGATTTGAGGAGAACTAACAGGTTCTTCTGAGGCAGTGAGAATGGTGATGAAGTGAGGATAGTGGTGGTGAGGGTAATGGTGGTGAGGGTAATAGTGGTGGAAAGGTAAAGAGGGTGTGAGTATGGGTGATGGTAGTAGTTGTGGTAGTGATGGTGGTAATAAGTACTATGGTAGGCCAGTGGTGGGTGTGTTATCAAGTTGTGGTGGTAAGTGTGTTAACGTGTCCTGAGTGACTGTAATGAGGTCAAGCCATCTCTCTCTCCTCCACATATCTTTCTCATTCCCTTCCTCCATGCCTCTCTCTTTCTCTCATCTTCCTTCCTCAACCTCTCTCACCCCCCCCATCACTTTCCCTCTCTCTCCTCCCCCTACCCCACCTCCCCCTCCCCCCACCTCTCTCCTCCAAGGTCAGGTCAGCCTTGAGGGGTTGAGTGGGTGATGAGTTAAGTTTACCCTCCCACTCAAGTGCTTTTGAAACCTCCATACATACATACATAGACACACAAGGATAGACCTAGATAGATAGATAGAGGTACATACATACATACATATAAACAAACAAACAAACAGACAGACCTAGGAGGGAGAGAGAGAGATCTTAACACTAGTATAAAAGGTGCTATTAACGCTCTCTACTCTCCCCACACTTCCGTCCTTCCTGGTCAGTGTGTCCAGCCAGCCTCTGTGGTCACCAAGTAGGAGGGAGAGGTGTGGGAGGGTGGGAGAGAGTGTGAGCTAATGGTGGGTGTGAGAGGAGGTGAGGGAAGGAAGGGAGAGGACTCGAGGAAGGTTGAGAGAGTGAGTGAGGGAGGGAGATAAGTGGTAGCAGTAGTGCAGCTATTGTCCCCCGTCTGGTTCAACCACTAGTGTGAATTATATCATTGTGGACTATTATGGTGGCTGTGTACTGTATACGATAAGACATACCCTCTGCTACACTACACCTAACCCTCACAATAATTATTAATATAAAATACAATACACCATTACAATCCCACCCCATAAAAATATGACTCTAAGCATCGAAAAAAATATGGCCGGTTTACTTAAGACGTCACGACTCCCTTAGCAACCAAAAAAACCAAAACCAATCATGTTCGACTTTTGGTGGTTGCTATGGAGGCAAATAAGATAGCTTAAGAGATAATGTTTTGTGGAATATAACCAAGATTCGCATGCTGTTTAACCCCTTAGTTTATTTCACCTTAACCTCACCCCACCCCAAGAATTTTTTCTAGCTTATTTCATGAGGTAAAATAAGCTGTTTGGGAGAGTTGGTTATCACATGTTTATATAACACATTGCATCATCGTCTCTGGCAGCTCAGATGACAAGGGAGAGATAGACAGGGAACAAGGAACAGCATATTAACGTTCTCTTATGATGTTAAGGTAGCACACGAGGCTAATCTGTCACACAAGGAAGACTTGAGTCTCTCTCTGTTGGCTACACATAACAGACGCTCGACATAACAGACTTTCGCTTGAGGACGATGGTTTAACCCTTTGAGGACGATGGTTTAACCCTTTGAGGACGATGGTTTAACCCTTTGAGGACGATGGTTTAACCCTTTGAGGACGTTTCAACCCATCAATCACGTTTTAACTGGAGTGTACTGTACATACATTCCTCCCGAGTTGTGTTAGTGTACAGTACAGCAGTGAACATGACACCTCAGTAAGTGTGGTGTAGTTTCTGAATTTCACCCACTGAGTGACTGAAGGACAATATACACAACTTTATTAACAAACTATTGACTTTAATAATTATCAAAATGTAAACAGACTTCATAATATATATATAATATTAAGTATAATTAGTATTAAATAAATATCTCTTCCCTAATACCAAGTAAGCTCTTTCAGTAGTCTCACATATTGTTTATATCACAGTATCGTTAACGTTAATAATATACTGTGTGTGTATTGGTAAACGCTCTCACCACCACCAGGTCTACAGCTCTTATCGCCCTCGGTCACAGTAACTGATAAGAGCAGTTGTGTTGGCTGTCACATGAACATAAGACAAAAATACGATTTATCTTTCTAGGGCAAGTTGTGTTTTGAAGTGCAGTGCATGACCTCCATTACAACCACCACCCCCACACTCAGTGGTCACGTCTGTACTACACCGGCCCACCCCACAACTCTTTAATAAGCTCTTCGTTACCTTACTTGACCTGAATGTGTCCTCAACACCACTGCCGTACAACTTTCACCGATCAACTTTTTCTGGGTGTAGATTTTCATTACCTTGAAGCATCTTGGGGTGGTGATAGTGTGGTGGGGAGGTGGTGGTAGTGTGGCGAGGTAGTGGTGATAAGTGTGGTGGGGAGGTGGTGGTAGTGTGGTGAGGTAGTGGTGATAGTGTGGTGAGGTAGTGATGATAGTGTGGCGAGGACGTGGTGGTAGTGTGGTGAGGTAATGGTGATAGTAGTGTAGTGAGGTAGTGTGGTGATGAGATGGTAATAGTCGTGTGGTGACGTGGTGGTGGACTGGTGTGGTGGTATTCTTGATGCGGCAATTACCACCATCTCTCAAACCTCTAGATGCTCTATCACGATCCTCACTACACACTTAACCACTAATGAAGGTTCAGGCAACAAAACCTAACCTAACTACACACCTAAAACCATCACATTTCATTATCTAATTGATCTTCATTACACATCAACCATTAACAAAACCTAAATTAAAAACACAAAATTCTGTACACGTCCAATTTAACTTTCACTTTAAGTCAATAATAACTACGGCGTTCCTCGTGGTTGGTATCTGGTGACAAGAGCGCGTGGTGTTGTGCTGAAGGCTGGTCAACTTTCTTCATTCCTGCCTTATGTGTATGTTATCATGGCTGGATTGGATTTGGTTGGGTTGGGTTAAGGTTAGTTTGAGGTTATGCCAGATGAATTTAGTAATCAGTTGGGTGGGTTATTCATACGCCTAGAACGTCGGCTCTGTGGGCAAGTCAGGGATTTATGGGGTCAGGAGCGTGGGCAGGTCAGGGCTTTATGGGGTCAGGAGCGTTGAGAGCGAAGCCGCGTCGTCTGAGAGCCATCAGTATATCGTCATAAACAGAAGGATCCTCGATGGTGGGAGGGATCTTGATGGCCTTGTCCTGGGCCAACTCTGCGATGCTCTTCCTGGCGGTCTTGCCGGAGCGGGTCCTGGGGAGGCCCTTGACTCTGGTGCTCAGACGAAAGGCCGCCACGGGGCCCACCAGTCGCCGCACCACCTCCACCAGCTCCTCGGATATTTGTTGCTCCGTTGACTGACATCCTTCCTTCACTACAAACAACCCGAGAGGAACTTCCCCCTTCATGGCGTCGGGGACACCCACTACAGCAACGTCCACCACTTGTGGATGCTCCAGCATGGCCTCCTCCAGGGCCAAGGTGCTCAAGCGATGTCCCGCCACGTTAATGACGTCATCATCACGTGATCTGACCCCCACGTAACCCTGCGTGTCACGCACACCTGCGTCCATTGTGTCGTAATAACCCGGGTACTGCGTGAAGTACGTCTCAACGAACCGTTCGGGAGCGTTGTGGAGTGTACTCATACAGCCCGGCGGCAGCGGCAGGCGGCACACTATCCTCCCCAGTTCTCCCGGCGTGGCCTCGCTGCCATCATCCGTTATAACAGACAGATCGAACCCGACGAAGGGTTTACCCGTGGCGCCTCGAGGGGGGTGTAGTGACATGCCCATGCCGGCAGCGTGGGCGGTGATGGCGTAGCCCGTCTCTGTCTGCCACCAGTTGTCTAACACCGGCACCTGGAAGGTGTCGAGGGCCCACTCCCGCGTCTCGTGGTCCAGCGGCTCACCGGCCACAAACAGGTACTTGAGGGAGGATATGTTGTACTGACGACCCTCGCTGGCCTCGGGGTCATGCCGAATGATGGCCCGCAGCGCTGTGGGGGCCGTGAACATGCCCTTCACGCCATGCTCCTGCACCACACGGAAGAACTGGCCTGCATCAGGAGTGCCCACCGGTTTGCCCTCGTATATGACGGTGGTGTTGCCGTTCAACAAGGGGGCGTAACAGATGTAGGAGTGGCCCACGATCCACCCCAAGTCCGAGGCTGCCCACCACACGTCGCCAGGGTTCATGCCATAGATGACTTTCATGGTCCAGGGCAGTACTGCTGCGTGGCCGCCAGTGGGCCGCACGATGCCCTTGGGCTGGCCAGTGGTGCCGGAGGTGTAAAGGACGTAGCAGGGATGGTGGGAGGGGACGGGCCGAGCGTCAGCTGGGGGTGATGTGGCCACCAGGTCGTGCCAGGCCACGTCCCAGCCAGGGGTGAGCGGCGCCTCTGGCAGCCCCTCCCGCTGCAGCAGGACACAGTGGCGAGGCTTGTGTGTGGATAACTCGATGGCCTCATCCAGCATGGGCTTGTAGTGCACCAGGCGTGACGGCTCCACGCCACACGAGGCGCTCACCACCACGCTGGGATGCAGGTGGTCGATGCGGGTGGCCAACTCCCGCGCCGCAAACCCCCCGAACACTAGGGAGTGTATGGCGCCCAGCCGCACTGTGGCCAGCATGGCCACCACGGCCTCTGGCACCATGGGCATGTAGATCATGACACGGTCACCGTAGCCCACACCCAGGCTCGCTAAACCTCCCGCCAGGCGAGTCACCTGTTCCAGCAGCTGGGAGTACGTCATCCTGGTGACGGAGGCGGTGACGGGGGAGTCGTGGATGATGGCCGTCTGGTCACCTCGCCCGGCACTTACGTGTCGGTCGACGGCGTTGTGGCAGATGTTGAGCTCCCCGCCCACGTACCACCTGGTGAAGGGCTCCTCCGAGTTGTCCAGCACCTGGGTGTAGGGCGTGTGCCACTCCACACACTGCCCCACCTCGTCCCAGAAGGCCTCCCGGTCATTAATAGACCGCCAGTACAAGTGGTCGTAGGTACCTGTGGGGCCGGGCGTGGTGAGGGTCCTCCTGTTCTCACCACCACTACACCACCGCCTCTCCAACACTGACGCTGGCCGTGACCTCACATAAACACCTGCTGTTCTTGCTCTAACACAACCACTAATTAATCTATTCATCCCGACTCCGCGCGTCAACATTATCCTCAGACTGTATCCACTACGGTACACCACAAGCTCCTCAACGACCCAACAGAACCGTCACTCCTTCTACCTTAATGCCATTATCAACAGCTGAAGCAGAAAGTTCGTACACACACGTGTTCACTCATACACAATCACAGCCTCGCCGTCAACTGCATCGTGATTATCCGTACAAACTAAAAACAAAAAAACAAAAGAAGAAGAGTACTATAGCAACCATTCCACCAAACACCACCATCGCACAGTGTTGTTCAATATTGTAATTGTGTTTATAAGTTTCCTACGTCTGGCAGACACGATAGTCGTTTGGTGGGCAATAACGAGACATTTAACGTCACCCCGTCAAGGCCATTTATTCCCTCGCTCGTTCACCAGGATGGGAGTTTAGTTCTCTCAATGTTAATGGCAATAAAATTATATAGAGGATATTTCAGAACACGTTGGAGGTAATGGAAGGGAACGGAGAAAAACAAAACAGCGTTAAAGGCAAACAATACCAGAGTAATGTTATGTGACGGAAGGGAGACTCTACCACATGAAGTTGTTGGCATTACAGGTACATAACATATACACAGGCACGCAACTACACCAACACCTGACCCTCACTCCCGCTACACATACTAACCATGCCAATATCACCTCCCGATGGACAACAGTAACAAAATAAACACAAAACGTAAATATCTACATCAACGTTTTCCGCCATGATGACAACCCATACAAAAATTTATAATCTATGAGCCAGGAAATAAAACACGCAACAGCGATTTAAACCACAAACTACACTAAATGCTTCGTCAGTGTCGCATTTATAATAAAAAAAGAGGAGGGGATTTATAACGAAAACCCGAAAGTCAATCAGAGTTGGTAACTTCATAACCCGAGTTGATTATTACCACAAACAAAGAGTAAAGGGAGTCTGTATGAGCCGCCACCCGCCTCAAACAGTTCAACAATTCGTCCATCACCCGCCAATTACACCTCCACTGACAATTATTTTGATATGTATGTGTGAGCTTTGTTGACTTAATAGTTTACTACTATTAATAGGGGTAAAACAACAATTACCATCGATAAAACTACTACTACCGCTATGACGAATTATTATTACTACTACTATCAGTGTCCACGAAGGGGATAGGATATATTACTGTAGGTTAAATTGGGTAAAATAAGGTCCGGTTAGGGGAGGTAGTGTGTGTGTGAGGCGAGTCTAGTTCACTACAGTCACCATTATTATTATTGACAGTGGCGGTGGTATTATTATTGTTGATATTATTCACAGATCTATGTTAAGTCTTCACCACCACAAAACAGCAGCTTCCCGACGCCCCAGGAAAAATGAAAAAACATCAAACCTAATTTCCTGCGTGAAATTGAAAACAGATAGAAACAAATTGTCTTATTAACGAGGTATAGTGGTGGTTGTCTGTGACGTCATAGATCAGCTGACGGTTTATTTACATAGGTATAGTGGTGGTTGTCTGTGACGTCATAGATCATCTGACGGTTTGTTTACATAGGTATAGTGGTGGTTGTCTGTGACGTCATAGATCAGCTGACGGTTTGTTTACATAGGTATAGTGGTGGTTGTCTGTGACGTCATAGATCAGCTGACGGTTTGTTTACATAGGTATAGTGGTGGTTGTCTGTGACGTCATAGATCTGCTGACGGTTTGTTTACGTTTAGCATTTGTTTACATATGACAAAGGGACCTTGTGTGTAACATGGGAAACACACGATGGAGAATATAAATAAAAATGAAAAAATACTTATACATGCATATTTTATGTTAGAATGCAATGTTTTTGTTTTTACGTACGCAACAGAAGTTAGGTTTCCTGTATCATAGCTGAATAGTTAATGATGACACTTGGAATAATTAAAGCGCAACTAGAATATTTAAATGGGGTCTACTTTCCATGCGGGTCACTTATTCTACACCCACAATACCCCCAGCTACTTCATCATACTCCCAATTACTCACATTGTTAACTTTGGGTCTCATTAAAAAAGACACTTTTGTAGACTTGTAAAAAGACCTGAATTTACGTGAGATAAAGAAATAAAGGGTGTAGTATTTCTTATAGTTTGAGTGTCTGTCTTTCAATAGTTTAGTCAATTCATCATCATAAGTTATTTCTTTCTCATTATTAACTTCCCTTCTGTGTCCGGTCACCCGATGTTTTCTATTGAAACTATATTATTTATCCCAACCTAACTTTCTCTCTCCCCCTGAACAACAATAACAGGGAGAGTGTCAGCACCCCTCTCTCTCTTCATCCTCCCCTCTCTCTCTTCACCCTCCCCTCTCTCTCTCTTCATCCACCAGCATCAAACCTGCCAACCATTTGCTTTGTGTCCTCTCTCCCCTCCCTCCCTCCTATGACTACATGGATCACCTGCAGATCAAACACCCTTAGTTTACTTTGCATGCTTGAACACCCTAATGCTAGTTGAGAGGGTTAGGTTAGATAAGGTTATGAAAGGTTAGGTAAAATTAGGTTAGATAAGGTAAAGTTAGGGTAGGTTAAGGTTAGGGTGTTTTAATCATCAGGTGAAATAATCAAGGTGGTCTAATCTTCTGATAAATATTCCAATGTTTTCTGCCATAATCAACATTGTTCGAGTGTTCACTTTCCTTTGATGCCATTTTGTTTTCTCCGTTCCATTACCTCCAACATGTTCTGAAATTATCCTCTATATCACTTTATTGCCACAAACAAACTCGCCCTCCTCTACTGATTATCTCCCCTGACGCTCTACTTCATATTGTATTTCTAGAGCGTGTTTACCAATTACAATATGCAGGATGTATCATGTCTAAAATATGGTGGATCTACCAGGATATACTTCAATGATAATGGCACACACACACACACTGCACATAATAAACACACATACATATAATACACAGACAAAGCACAACAAACACAAAACAAACAAGGAGGACACCACAATACACACAAATAAGCCCCCCCCCAAAAAAAAAACACACACACACACACACACTCATACACAATGTTTATTTCACTCAATAACATTATAAAAGCTCTAGGACTTATTTTACTACAAAAGCTGTCCTGTGACTGGTTATTGTGAAGGTAGTACAGTAGTTTAATATGATCCTCAGCTTCCCTATACCAATCTTAATGTGTTTTTCTGCCACTTATGTGTATGTAAATATAATCTACAGGTACAGGTAATTTTTAATCAACATACCTGGTGCCTAAAATCAGTTAAAACAAGTACTGTAACTTGTTTATACAGTGAAACCTCTATTTAACAAACTATATAGAGAGGAATGTATCTAGGGTCTGTTGGATGTGAAACCCCCATGAGAGAAATGTGTTATAGAGATGCTTCACTACGTACAAGTATAAAAGGATACGCTATGATGTATCTCCTCAGTACGTCCACCTCGTCCAAGGAATCTGGTAAGGTCACCTGAACACCAGTGAATATATCCGGTAGAGGCTGAAATGGTAAAGAAAACCAGAATAAGAGATTAAAAATACGCAAATGACTCTTCACCCGTACATGTTATAATAGACAGAAGAATAGTGGTAGGGGAATTTTAACTTTTTGGGGGGTGAATATTATTATTTTATTTCAACAAGACACTGGAGGAACTTGTAAACAGAAATGTGTGTCAGGATCCATTACTCTAGAGAGAAGCTTCACTCTGCAATACTGTACTTGGCATTAGCCCGAAAGTTTGCTTAAGTACAGGAGCATCTCAGAGAAATGTATACATCCTGCCATAAAGATTTCCATGGCAGGGTGTATATATTTTTTTGAAACCCTCCACACACAGGTGAATGAAATACCCGAGAACAAAACTGTACTCACGTTTATTGTCGGAGGTTTAGAGGAAGGCGGCGCTGGGTGGTCATACAGGTATCGGTGGGCTACGTTGTCATTATGGCACTCAGCACCGTACTTACACTTCTGGTAGAGAAAACATAAGAAATAGGTCAGCAATTTTGTGGGCAACTAACAGCTTTTATCTTTAAAGTGACAACCAGGGTATTCCTGTACAGGTATAGATGACACAGGTATGGACAGTGACAAAGTAGAAATCTCAGTTTATAAAAGGTTACATGTGCAAAATGTATAATAGCTCAAAGCATTATAACAAGCAGATGATTTTACTGATATACTGATACAAAACATTATGTAACTTGAAACATTATTTTTACCTTTTTCCTCACTGGCTCCTCTTCTTCTTCATGTTTTTTTTCCTCTGGTTTCATTATTCTCTTTCTACTGTCTGTCTTGTTTTCCTCCTCCATCTTCTCTTCTTTCTTTACTTTCTCATGTTTAAAAAGTTCTCTCCCAGTTCTCTGGACCAGTTAAATGTACAACAAATTAATTAGTTTACATTACTATTACTGTATTATTATTATTAATGAGCAGATGCAACAAGTAATGCACAGTTGCTTTTTTTTGGTAGACAAGGAGGAAGTGTGGCCAGAACTGCACTGCACTGAACTGCCTTAACGTCCCCAACTGTAAAGCTAGGTACCCATAATAGTTGGGTGGTATATAAACCTCAGATAAAATAAATTAATATAGCATACCTTGACCTTACTCTTCTCTTCACTTATTTTGCTGGAGGAGGCTGTGGCACTTGGGGACTCACTAATAGGGGGCTGTCTTGCTGGTGTAGGGGAGCCTCTACTGGTGGGGGGCTGCCTCACAGGTGTAGAAGACCCACTTCCTCCACTCTTCTTGCTACTGTCATCATCATCATCATCATCATCGTCGTCGGTCTTACTAGTAGTCTGTGCTGTCAATGCCTCGTAGTCTAAATTCTCCCTGGAATTCTTGTAAAGTACCTGGAAAGTTTGTAAATTTTATTAACATCAAATCAAGAACTGTAGTGTTTAAAGCAGGTTAAACTGTAAAGGCACATTTATAATCACAGTGACACTAATGACTAGGCAGTAAAATTAGGTGTTGATTATAAAGTGGAAAAATTTTAAGATACTATGATCATATGGAGATAATAAATGAAGGAGATGAATGAAACTGAGTGATGAGTGTTGGTGAGTATAGTTCTGTATACTGTATGGGACTATAACATGGGCTGACAGAACAGGAGTGCACAGAGAAAGGTGGTAGTGTATACAAACAGAAACATAAATAAACACACAAAACAAATGATGATCACTTTCTTAAGATCCATTCTTCTAAAAAAAATCAAAATAATCTAATGCTCCTCCTTATTATCCAATTATTTTACAAAAACTATTCTTACCTGGAGTTCTTTAAGATCTGTGGCCTCTTCCCAAGTCTTGTCTCCACGTTCTTTGGTGACCCGAGGGAACCTGATTGAGATGCCATCTGCCGTGTGGATCTGGTGGCGAGTGAACTCTGCTCCGGTCACTTCCCAAACTGGTGATTTCTGGAGGCGAACAAAACCATATAGTTACAGAAAACTTTCACATGGACAATGAAATATCAAATTAATATCACCAATAATTCTTAAGCAGTAAACTTTAAGGATACAGAAGCAAACATTGAACAAAATTAACCAGACACACATTAACTGGATCTTACTTTTGGGTCGGCAGCAACAAAGTCCGGGGTCATGGGCTTGTTACACTTGAGCCACGAGGGAACACGAGAAGCATCTTGACTGATCTTGACCATGTTTAAGTCGTTCTGTAGTCGTTCCAGGGCAGTGTCGTCAAAGCCCGTGTGAACCTGTCAGAGAAAATACCAAATTGAAAATGTTAAGTAGATGTTTCTTCAGTAAATCACAACAGGATATGAAAATGACAGCAGCGAGTGTTATCAAAGCTTGTGTGAACCTGCTAGACAAAACACCGAAAAGAAAATGTTATATACATGTTTCTTTCACAGACAACAACAAGATAGCTCTCTCACATTACCTTAGTGACTGTGCACCACTTGTTGATTCTGGGGTCGAAACATCCCATCAAGAAGACTGACATCATTCCTCCTGTAGAAGATGAAAAAAAGATTACCTTAGCATACCCCAATGTTACAAATTACCAACTGGATACACTCAAACTCCCTCTCTAGCTGTAGTTAGCTTTATAAAGGATAACTGTGCCTGTATATTGCGTATTTAATCTATTAACACTTCAAACATTAAACTGACCTTTCTTGCCAGTTCCATACCAGGCCCCGAGCACCACCAGGTCAGCGGAGTCGGCCATCGCTCCGTCATTCAGGTAGTCTTTCTTGATCTTCAACCAGTGACGTTTTCCAGGCTCATAGATACCCTGTAGAAGGTAATGACTCATATTAATAAGATGAAGAAAATTAAATGGAGACTAAGGATTCACTATTGTGTTCCTATATCCGCTAAAATGGAATGCAAAGAAAACATGTCCACTGATGATGGCCACCTCCCCTACAGTAAAATTTAACTGATGATGGCCACCTCCCCTACAGTAAAATTTAACTGATGATGGCCACTGTCCCTACAGTTATATTTAACTGATGATGGCCACTGTCCCACAGTTAAATTTAACTGACGATGGCTGCCGTCGCTACAAGCTAACTTCTGACGATGATGGCTGTCGTCATCTTTAGGTGATCAGACAACCCTTACAACTAACAGTGAAGATCATCAACAAGTGCCATCACAAACGACCGTCCACAACTCACATTAATATCCTTCAGCACGAGCCCCTCAAGGCCCTCCCTCAGAGCACGGTTGATCATGTCTCGCAGGTCCTCCTTCTTTCGTATCAACTTCATTTCAGAGAACAAAATACGATTCTGGATGGGGGTCATGTTCTCTTCGAGGACTTTACGACGTTCTGATAATGCCCTGAAGAACAATAGAACAATGTGTCTAAAACCATAAGTAATTAAGAAGAACAATATCAAGGTCGTTCTTAACCCGTTATTCAGTGTTTTTTCTACAAACATCGTGTAAGAAATGTTGCTGTTCTTGTTGAATTCCGTTTTGTACAGTAAATATCTTAACGTTCTGGATGTTCTTGGTGTACACACAGTCAAATAATATCTTTTATGGAACAGTTCGATCAATTTCAAAACAAACACTGCTACTCCTGTTGTCTCAGTAGGGTTGTCAGAATCCTCCGTCCGTTGTGTCATATTGTCTTACACCTTTATGACTGTGTGTATATCATAGATCATAATCTTGGCGTAAACATGAAGTGTGAGAGTTTGATTCTTTGACATTTTAGTGGTGATGAGGAAATACTTTTGGTGGCATGACTCAACACTTTTAACTGTTGTATCAGAAACTTCTAAGTGAAACAAACTTTTGCTTAAATCCCGAGTCTGGACACCCAAAAAGTCTTGCATTTTGTAGTATTGCTTTACCAGGTTAATGAATATATTATGATGCCTAATTACCGGGAAATAAAAATATAAGATACAGAACTCTGAATTACAGGAAGTTAAACAATACAACTGCTGTATTTTCATTACCTAAATATTCTATGAAATTATCAGAATATAATCAACAAGCTGTATATATATTTATTTACAATGGTGATTCTAAATTACAAACTACAACATCAATATGTCAACAACAACCAGTGGATATAGGAGGAATAACAAAAGTAATCTACATTATAGTACAGCACTACACTAGAACACAAGCAAAAGACTCTCACTGTTCAATACATTATAACACCAACATCAACCAACTTGTTCACTCTAACATCAACTCACTTGTTCATGAGATCTTCCCCATTGTAGTGGATACAGTCAAACACAAACAGACACACATTAGCATCTTGGAATTCTGCTTTCTGAAAACAAACAACACAGTAAACAGAATAAGCACAACAATAATTAATAATTTTACCCATTTTAAAGATTATTCACATGAGATAAGTTGTATATTAGCTCATGGTATGTGTTATATTACATCAACTTTGGTGTTCCTAAAGAATAAAAAATCTTAATATCTCTGACCAAAATCTCATCTCAACAGACCCATAAAATCACAGTATCTCAAAATTACATATATGTCAATCTGAAGATTATACACCTAAATTATTTCACCTTTAGATTAACCACCTCATTGCTAACCTAACCTACCCCCCCCCAGGTATCATTAGTGTATTTAACCTTCAGGTGATAAAAAAAAAAATTCACTGAACCAGAATCAATGACACACACAATACCTTGTGAACCCCCAGAGTTCCAAAGGGCAAAGGAATTCCTGTCTTGGTGTTAATCATCAACACCTCAGCGTCAAGAATAAGATCCTTACTCTCAGGAAAAGCCTCAGGTATGAAGTTCTTGAAGTGAGACACCTATAACACAAGTACTAATTAGTTTATATTAAGTCTAAATACATGGCTTTAAGTCTACAGTATCTCTCATATGTTTACACTCACTGCTCTAAGACCAAATAAATGACTCAGGGAATATCTCTTAAGCTTACATTCACTCTTGTGTAAAATAATGGATCAGGTATATAATGTTAAGGACACTAACACCAATTACTACTTGTACATATATTATCCCTTGACCAGCAACTAATAATGCCCCCCGTTCCTCCCCTCAAAATCAACCACAATGATCCCACACGACACATTACCTTATGAGGCATGACGGGCTTCAGGGAGCGAGAAAAATACATGAACTTGTTGCCCTTCTTGTGTACTTGGACTCTCTCTCCATCGTACTTTATCTCGGCAAACATGGCGCCGCTCGGACACTTCTTAAACGCATAGTCAACTGATTTACACGCTTCAGCCTGTTGGGGGAAGAAATACAGATAAATTATCAAACTCAATATAATACAATACTCAATTAAATGTATTGTTACTGTAAAACTTAGGTAAATAAAATGGATCACCTGAAGATTAGCACCCCGGCTAATTTTACCTGATGATTAAACACCTTAACACTATCTTGAAGGTTAGGTTAGGTTATTTTATTATAGGTTAGATTAGGTTAAGTTATTTTAAGACTGCATTAGTGTTTAATCATCAGGTGTAATAAGCCAGGTGTGCTAATTTTCAGGTGATCCAATTAAACCCTCAGTGGTGAAATACTAACACTGAGCACCAGGAGACTCACCAACATAGGGAGGACGGGAGTCATGACCTGAGCCTTCATCTTCAAATTGACCCCAGAGCTGCCAGCCTCCAGGATCTGGTCAATCACATTATCTATGTTACGTGTCGTCTGGAAGGCTTCATAGGCATCAGGATGTATGGCCTCCAAACTGGAAAGATATAAATTAGTTTACCATAAAATAAGAAAACTGTAGATGGATGAATTATTGATAATACTGGTTAGAAAACTGGTTAGATTCACTAGTCAGATGTGCTGGTGAGAATCTGTGTCAGGATCACTTTGTCAGAATCACTCATCAGGACCAACATGAATCCGAAGCCTCTGTGGATAGAATAATGCATCACTGTCTACTGCTTCGGATTCACAAGTTTGAATCTCTGGGTTCATGGAACTTTTGGAGGTGACAAGACTTTTGACCGTGATTGTGAGACACACTACAAACTCGACCTTCACCAAGATAGAGAAAAAAAAACAACTAAACAACCAAAAGGACAACCACTCCACCTTAGAGTACAGAGTTTCAACCACACAATGAAGAAGCTTACATGTGTTTGGCTCCTGCGTTAATACGAAGATCTCCTTTGATCAGGCGCACCACCATCTTCAAGTCATTGCTCGTACATCTGTAATACATTGAAGAATTAGACAGAGAAGTGGAAATGTGAGAGAGACCTGACTGGGATCTGATAATGTGGTATTGCTATTAATGGGAGGATAAAAAGTAAAAGGTTGGTAAAAAGGGTGAGGAGGGAGAGGGAAGAACAAGGTAAAGAATATACAAGAAGTGTGGGGGCTGGACGTCACAGTGATAGTATGGAGTGTTTCAATAATTAATTACTGTAGCCATAGAGATTTTAAACTTAACAAGACCAGAAACGAGAGAAAACATCGACTAACTTTTGAGTGATCTTCTTGAGGTGCAGCGACTGTTCCTCCTCTCGTGTCTTCCCGGTCAAGTCCTGCAACATTTCATCGACTTCTTGTATGGACAGAATGCTCTTCTTTGCTGGAGGCAGCATGGCGGAGCGCTCAAAGAATGTACTGACCGTTTCCGCTACATCACCTTGTTCCAGATCCTCCATCATTTCCTCCAAGTTAGTGTTAAATATCTAAAAGGATTAAAAATAACATCTTTATTAGTCTTCCTAAAACATTCTCATTTATTGGTGGGGGATCTTATCTTGAACAGATACTGAGCTGTATCATATAATGTATCATAAAAAATATCTATGTTGCCTCTTTTGCCCCTTCCTACTTCAATATGCAACTTGTCTCACAGAAATTATGAAGTGCTGTATGTGAGCTACAATCAAGTCACTCTAAGTATGGGGTCATAGCTGTAAGATATATTTTCCTATTCCCTGTGTCATAATCAATCAAAAAGAAAGGCAGTGAAACACGGGCAGTTAAGAGGATGACATAAGAACACTTGAGTGATCTGAAATGAAAATGGTGACGTGGATGTGACACTGAAACACAAGAGACCCCACTGAGAGCTAAAAGGGAGACTGGTTATTGAGAGTATTAGTAAAGACTCATGTAGGAGCTGGTTGAGAGGGTCTCATCATGTGGAGAGAAGAGATGAGAAGAATGAGGTTCATGAGCCTAAATGTGGAGGGGGAGGAGAGCCAAGGGTAGGCCAAGACTAACATAGGGAGAGGCTGTAAGAAATGACACCCGAGACAGGAACCTGATGAGAGAGAGACTACAAGAGACCTAATACGGTACCCAGATTAATACTCTTTCATGACATTCCAATTATTAACTTATAGCACAACAATACCTGAGAGAAGGACAGCAATTTACCTGTGAGAAAAGTTTAATAAGTTGTTTGGACTGAAGGTTGTAGACCCTCTTCACCACCCCTGGCAGGAGCAGCTTCACCCACAGTCTGAGGTCACCCTGGAACCCAGCTACCAGAGGAAACCAAAATTATAGAGTTAAACATTTGTAAACATCAACTGTGTTCTCTGATAATACAATAATATTATAGCAGACAGGCAGGGAGGGGCATAGGAAGGTAGGTGGAGACTTGTCAAGTTGCATAGATGTGGTGAGTAAGATTCTGATATTTTCTTTCCACGCCATAAATTAATTTTTTGTTTAATTATGAGACAGACAGCTTACAGTCCCTCACTGCTGATTCTTTTGTTTAAGACTGCACATTTATTATTATCTGGCCTATACACTGTTTGACTACCATACACAGTACAATACATTATTTAAGTACTGCAACAAGTGGTGAATCCTCTGACCAAAACAGCAACAACTTTGTAAGTTCCCCAGGCAGGTGGTACGGTTCTAAGCATGAAATGGAAACAATAAGCTTCCTAATGATAAGGCTGACTAAACACTGAATCTACATTGTCTATATACATGCTGAATTAATGTAAGTTTGTATGACAATTTTACTGAATAAATATCTGCCTCTCTAACAATCTACTATGTGTTTTATATTAACTCAGTAGTTAACCTCTGCAAACAAAATCAGACTCACTTTTACTTGTGCCATTCTTCAAGAAGTTTGACAATATCTCGGTTTTGCCCAAATAGCTCGACTCTTCTGCAATATTTGCACAAATCCGCCTGAACTCCCTGAAGGCATTGTCCTTATGAGTTCTATCCATGCCGGGGTCTGTCCTCGGTGGTGGTGGGGCCGATGACGACTCGCCACCTGCAAGATGACGGTTTTTCTAATTACAGTAAAGTCTGATCATATCATTGTGGAGAACATCAATGTTCTTCACAATGACCAGACTTTATTCCTACTGGTTTTTAGGTTCCTGTTTATTGCACGTCCTAAAATATAGTGATCATTTAGGGTTCTCGAATAAAAATAATGACCATTTTTACAGAGAGAACCAACCAATCGCCTTACCTACCTGATGGTGTTGATGGGCCGAGCTTCCCAGTCTTCTGTGCCGTCTTCTTCTGTGGCGTCTGTTTCTTTGGAGTTGTCTTCTTTGATGTTGTCTTCTTCGGGGTGTTGGCATTTTCAAGAAGATCTGAGATGAGGGGATTATGATTTTAATTACAACTCTCCTGGTACTCTGGACACCATCACAAACAATAGGGAGTTTTTATAGTGGTAGCAATGATTGTGTACAATTAAGTGATAGTAAGAATCTGCCACATTTTTGTATATTCTGAATTTTTTAGATGAGTCTTCCGTAAGAAGTGTAAATACAATACAGTACAGGTACTGCAAATCCCACTTTCATTGATATCAAATATGTATTTTCCCAAACCCAAGCACATCAACAGGACTACTAACTCTATAGTAAGAAAAAACAGAAATAATCAGTATGTAGCCAAAAAAGACGTACCATCAACTAACGCTCGGATCTTCTTCTGGTCGTCGTCCTCCAAGTTCTCCCAGCCTTCAATGTCTTCCACTGGGTCTTCAATCTTCTTGGTGGTGGCCCGAGCACGCTTGAAAATCTCAAATATACAGTCCACATGGTGCCACTGTTTCATCTCCCCTGCAGACTCAGAGAAAGGGTTGGGGACAATTTTGCCAATTCGAAGGGCTCCTGCCAATAAAAAGAAGTGATAAATAACAACTTTTACCTCTTGTGTATGGGGTATTATCTGAGCTGAATATTATAAGGGATATAATAGCGTGGCATTATTAGGGCATATTAGAGGGCATTATAAGGGCATATTAGAGGCAAAATAATGAGTCACGCTAAATCAAGAACATCCAATATAAGTCGGTGTAAATAAGAGACAGACAGCGTGAGGTGTGGGGTCAGATGTAATGGTTTGGGGTCGAATGTCTGTCAGATCTGGGAGATTTAACTGGACATATACTGTTCTGTATATACTTTAACCTTAATAACTCATATATACTGTACATGTAAGCTCAAAAAATTATCTTTACGATTTTGTGTGAGACAATATGCCATAACGGACGGTGGATTTTGACAACCCGGCCGAGACAAGAGTCCGTAAAGATACTTCCTGCAGCGAGCGCACAAACAGTATGTACGGCGCTCAAGGATTAAGTCGCTGTGTGATGGGTAACAACATCCTGATATAAAGTATTACCAGTAACTTATTTCTTCCACTCACCCTTCTCACATTTATCCTTGCATTTCTTACATTTAGCTGCGCCTCTCTTGTCGTACTCGGCACAGAATGGGAACGACGACATAATATCAACCTCTTGAGAATATTTCAGGAATGGAGGACTTGACACCAACTCCCTCACTCTATGACAGGACGTTAATGATGAATCAGACGACAAATATTGACGATTTAGGACGAAAATATTCCTCCCAGTAAATATATGTAGAGCAGTGCCACAGACAGGCTCAAAGGCCCTTCTGGTCAGAGTCACTGAATGGATAAACTGCTTCACTGCCTTTTCTGATCTACGAGATACAGTCGCGGCTACTTTCAGCATGTGGCTTAAACCTGTACAATGAGAGGAAAAAATAATTAAATAAAACATATTAATAAGTTGAAGATAAGAGAAAAACATTTAATTAATACACAACAAAACTATTCACTCATTTCAAAGTCAAACACACAGAGGAAAGACTCGTTTTCATTTACTCAACTCCTGTAACATAAAACGGTAAAAGAAAACGAATTAATTTAAACTTCAGTGTATAAGGATTTTATCTTTAAAATGTTCCAGTCACATCTTCAACATTAGTAACTTGACAGAAAAGAAATAATCTCATATTAAGGTCAAGGATCCACAATAAGCAGCCACCTTATGAAATATATCTGTTCACGAAAACTTATCTGTTACTTCAAGAATAAAGCAAATTGTGTAGAGGAATGCCACTTTTCTTATTGAGATATTTATCCATTCTTTCTCATAAAGCAAGCTGCTGCTGCCTACAGTTTTAAGATGCATCGTCATACATCTGGAATTTTCATAGAGATAATGATGTTATTCTGTTTAATAATCACTAACACAATATTTCATCCTCGGTCTGAGCGCCAACAACAAAAAATAAAATTACACTATGACGCATAAACAAAGTTATTTTCATTGGCACCAGATAACAAAATAAGGAATTTAGGTTAAGTAGGTTTCTTTGGCTAGTAAGGTCAGGTTCTATTAGGTTCATTATTATTCATTTGCAACAGAAATGTATAGAATGAAAGTTACTCAGACTGATGAGATATATCAACTGCATGTGTTAAAAACCTTAAAATCACTAAGAGTCCACTAAAAAAAATTTCCAACAATTTGTATGGAAATTTTGTGAGTCGATAAGTCACTGCACATTGTAACCGTCACACAAAACATGGCATCACTCGTGTGGGTGAGAGCAGTAGTGTCATTATGGGGAAAACTAACGGTAAATTTTAGGACACGAGTCCCGAGGGGTTGACCAACATGTTTTTCCAGTGTATTTTGGTGTGTTTTAAGCTAATCTAACCTTCATTTTTGTTGGAAATTGCTCGTTCCCCCCCCCCTTCCTCTTCCCCAACAACAATTGGGGAGAGCCTGAGAAATCGGGGTTTTTGGGTGGGGGAGAACATGAAAACGAGTCATCTAACCTAACCTAATCTAAATGCTTCAATAGTTTAAAACTGTGAGGTGCGTCATGTCCGAAAGTACAATAACTTTCTGGTAACATTCAGCAATAAACTTAAAATATTCGTAGGAGAACAAATCACACCCGACCTCCACCACGGCTATTGTCAGACTGGTCAATGAAATTCAAATCCGTACCCAGGCTGCTTCCTATGAAAAAATTCAAATGTGATTGGTCTATAAAAATCGCGTGATGATATCGATACATCATTGGTCACGACTGGATGACGTCAATCAATATTGCCCATGCGTGATGTGCCGATAACATCTCCTCACAGAGACGAAGACTGAAAACAGCGTAAAATCAATTAAATTCAATCGTATCGCTATTGTCCATTTCTGCCTGGTATATATGGGGGTCCAAAATGCTCAGAATAGGGAGATCTAAATGTTTCAGTAACTTTCGGGTGCACTATGTCTGAAAGTAAAATAATACCTAAAAGTAATATTCCTCCACCATATCTGTTTTAGTTATGAGGTAAGAGATACAATGGTTTTCTTCAATAACATCTTCCTTAGGCAGCTGAATAACCCTGGCAACAATCCATAATGGTGAAATTAAAGTATCGGTCATACACCCATTTGAACCTAATCTAACCAACATAAATGGGTCACAGTAAAATGCTTCTCAAATACAAATACAACCTAACCTAACCTAGAGTAACCAACCCTTCCCAGGACACTACTCGAGACAACATTACAAATATTAAAGCTGTACCATAATAACCCCCAATTGTCTCCGTCTCCTTTACATTTAATTATGTTAAGATTACGGTGATATCAGTCATTATAACAATACTGATGTTAGTAAACTATAGAATGCCCCCAAAATATGTCAAACGCACCAGGTAACTCGTGTCCGGGTGTTACACGAGACGATAACAGCTTCTTAACCCGGTGTAGAGTAAACCCCTGTCACCTTCCTTCTCTTACAGGACCTATATGAGTGGTGAATGACGCTGAAGGACCTAGTTGAGTGGTGATTGACCCTGAGAGTGGTGCAACACCCTCGTCACCACACATGAATACTCCTGTCTGGTTGGTGATGATTTAACCTCGTGTTGAAATAATTACCACGATCGATGTAATTCATTAATATATTCTTCTTTAGTCTCTTTAAAACAGCTGTATATGATTCAAATGAACTCAATAATTTATACATATTTTACTGAGTCTATATAGTATAGTTTATGCTTGATTATCTCTTAAGGTTATTTGTAAATAGAAGTTTAAAAGGTCTTGTTCGTGTAAATATTTTAACATTTGTTGTGTTCGTTGCTACAGGGAAGTAAACATTGCTCTCTAAAAGCTCCGAGAGTGAGCCGCCAAGCTTATACATACCTGCCTTGTTAATACACATGCTGAACTGTATACCTGCATTGTCTTTATGCGTACAGTACATGCTGAACTATATACATACTGTGTATATACGTGTTGAACCAAATGCTTAACTTGTATAACGAATTTACAGAATATCTATCTCTTCATCCATCTATTGTATCTGATGGAGTATATCGCTAGGCCTCTCCTTTCTCCTGATGTCATGGTCAGACACTGGGCACGCGCAGGCTCTGTTACACACTCTGTACGGTGGAGTCTCAGTCTAATGTTGACGCCATTTTCACTAATTACATAGAATAGAATGAAAAATGAGACATGATAATTAGATACAGAAAGATGAACAACAGTACAAGAGCAACAAAAGTGAGCAAAGGTACAACAAAAATAGGTACAATAACAAGTTAACAAAGGTACAGCCACTACAGGATGCTGCTGGTTAGGACAGTTTCACTACCCTCAAGGGGGCCTTCCTCACTCCACCACCACGCATGCCCAGTAGACACATTGTCCCTGCTCTTGTTTATTTAGTGCTGCCCGTAGCCTAGCGCCTCACTTCTCGCCGCCATGAAGGTCGTGCTCCTCCTGTGTTTACTCCTGCTGGGGTCCTGCTACACCGCCTCCGTGTTGGGGCCCATCGAGAGCATCCAGCATGGCAGTAACGGTGTGGCTGGACTCGAAACTCCAGACTCTACGCGTCTCTTAGCTATCGGCGACGCGATACTCCTGGCCATGAAGGATCTCATCTACCAACAGGAGAAACTCATTACAGAACGTCTCAAGAGGATTGAAGCGTTGGTGAGCCACAAGTGCGGGGATCCTGATGACCTTGATGTGTCAGTGAACGAGGTCAACACCAGTGATATGAAGACCTCAGCAGCAGATGTGTTGGACGGGTTTATGGACAAGATGTCTTCCTTGGCTCAGACATACGCTGATGATCTGCGTCAAGAATTTCGCGCTGAGACCCAACAAGTGGTCAAGATGATGAGGGAAGAAATATCTACTTTAGTAACAAACTCTGAACTTCATCAAGCTGGAACTAACGCGCCTGTTAATAATAAGAGAATGACTTATAGTGAGGGCGGAGTCGAGGAGTCCACCACACACGTCATGGCCGCTGTTGAGGGGAAGACAACTTTAATAACTCGTGACGACCTCGACCATCGGCTGGGCTTCGTCAACCACCAGCTGGCACAGATCACCAAGCTCCTGGGTAACGTCTCCACCGCTGAGGTCCTCGACTACAGCCGGAAGACATTCAAGTCACTAGATGCCTTCCAGCCTCTGTACGACTCCTTGACGAAGGTGGTGGAGAAGTGCGAGGTGAAGGAGGGTCAATACTACCACCTGGACCGTCTGGAGAAGATCCTGATGCACCTGACGGAGGAAGTGGACGAGAACGGCGATGTTCTCTCTGGCGTGACAGTGGCCCTTGAGGAAGCGGAGAACATGATGATGGAGAGGCTGCAGGCCCTGGAGGAGATAACACAGGCGCTGAATAATAATTTGAAGGTCGCCCCAACCATCACCATCCCTCAGTCTACGAGTACTACTCCCCCGGGTACGTGGACTTGAGTACGTTAAGTCAGGCTCACGAGTACAATAACTTAACTCTGTTGCATTTGCTGTCCCTATTCTTAGTTTTTGTTGCAAGTAGAGTGTGCTATTTTTTGTGTTGTGTCCGTGTCGTCATTGTTGTTTTTGTTGTGTTATTGTTGCAAGTATTATTAATGTCCTCTGTTGAAGTTTCAGTGATTCTTTAATTCATTGTGTCCTTGTTGCAACTACTAGTCTAATCATGTATCATTGTTGCAGGTACTCTGAGCACTTGCATGGACAGCTTGTTCGTTGGGCCACACGCTGCCCAAAAGTCCTCCAACCTGTGCAAGACAGCAATGCGGTACGACAAGTGCAGCCTGCAGATCGTGGCCTACCATTGCTGCCGGACGTGCACTGACGCTGGCCACATACCCGAGATCGGTCCCCACCGCTTTCTTCACTACCCTCGTCTCGTCAACCTCAACCCCGGCCTGTAGTCCTTACCAACATCTTTATATCTTAGTCCGTACTTGACCTGCACCTGGTCGGGAAATATATTTCCTGGTCCGTAGATATATTTTCTGAACCGTAGATAATCTTGTTGGTCCGCAGATACTGGACCGTAAACAGAGGGACCGTAACTTGTGGTAAACTAGCATTAACTGGTTGTGGTCAGGGTATGTTAGTGGTTCCTCCACCAATAAGATATAACAAAAATCATTTACTAAAGACGATATTATTTACATGTTACAAAAACCTTAATAAAAGCGTAATAATAATTTGTTTTATCTTATTTCAATGCCTCGTAACGTATTATTTCAATACTTAGTTCTGTAACGTGTCAGGTATATCAGATTGCTTGACTAAATTGGGGTAACTCGTCTCATTTTATCGCATATATATATAATGGTATAATTTGAACTTTACCCACATTTTTCAGAAGTCATATATATACATGTTTACGGACCTTCGTATAGAACGCACTTAACCTCCACTAGTGAGTCTCTCTCTCTCTGGATCTTGTTGCGTGTTCTAAGTGGTGTTCACTTTTTCGTAGATGAAGGAACTGAGAGAGAGAGAGATAGATAGGCAGCTACCAAACAGGGAGGTACTGCCGCCTGGGAAGATATTGGAAGCATAATGTGTTGTCTAATGGTAGACCCTGCTGCCATATGGCATCACGAAAATTGTGACCAAGTCCCAGGTTGGTGATCTGACTTTCTGCCTCATTTACACACAATTGCAGGGTCTCAGTTGTTTCTCTTACTTGGACAACACAACATATGTAATGTATATAATTTCTCACTCTTGATTTATTTTTTCAATTTTGTATTTATTTATGCTTATTATTTTTATTTATTTTTATTTTTATTAATTTGCTATTAATTTTATTAATTGTTGTAATAATAATAATAATAATATATATTATTATTATTATTATAATTATTATTTATTATTATATTCTCGCCCCCGGCCTGATGTGGGTCATTACCTGTGCGGGTCGGCTAATGCCGTCAAAAGAAAAAAACCTAACCTAACCTAGACCACTGGTCAATTTTCTGTACAGGATGAGGTAATCTGTGACTGACTGACGGAACACAGCTGCCCTATTCTTTCAGGTTTCCTGTGTGTGTGTGTGTGTGTGTGTGTGTGTGTGTGTGTGTGTGTCCCACTGGAGATTTTCCGCTAGAGCCTATTAAACAAGAGAGGTCTGTCACAACCGCGAGCTTTCTCTCCTACACTGACTACCCCTGCCCCCCTCACCTCACCCACGACCCTCACTGCCCCTCACCTGTCTCCCTCACCCGACCCTTAATGTCTCCACTCACTTGACCCTCACTGTCCCCCTCTTGACCCACGACCCCTATTGTCTCCCTCACCCATGACCCCTCACTGTCTCCTCTGACCCCCCTGTCTGACCCTCTTGACCCCTTGTCCCCCCTCACCCAGCCCTTATGTGTCTCCCTCACCCACCCCTTAACCTTATTGTCCCCCTCACCCACGACCCCTCACTGTCCCCCTCCCCCGGCCTCACCCACCCGACCCCTCACTGTCCCCCTCACCCGCTCTCCTGTCCCCACCCACGCCCCTCCCCTTTGACCCCTCACCTGTCTCCCTCACCTACAGACCCCTCACTGTCCCTCTCACTCGACCCCTCCTGCTTTTCCCTCACCCGACCCCTCTGTCCCCCCCCTCACCCACGACCCCCTCACCCCTCACTGTCTCCCCCTCACCCACGACCCCTCACTGTCCCCCGCCCCCTCACCTCCCCCTATGTCTCCCCTCACCCACCCCTCAATTGTCCCCTCACCCTCACCCACGAACCCCTCACTGTCCCCCTCACCACGACCCTCACTGTCCCCTCACCCACGACCCCTCACTGTCCCCCTCACCTACAGCCCCTCACTGTCTCCCCTCACCCACGACCCTCTCACTGTCCCTCACCTACACCCCCATTGTCTCCCTCTGTCAGCCCTCACTGTCTCCCTACTTTTGACCCCCCCTCACTGTCCCCTCACACGACCCCTCACTGTCTCCTCACCCCGACCCCTTATTGTCTCCCCTCACCTACAGTCTCCCTCACCCGGCCTCTGTCTCCTCACCCACATTCTCCGTGATTCTCCTAGCTAGAATTCCCCACCCCTTTCACCCAGCTTCACTTCTTTCCTAGAGTGCCCCCTTCCACCCCCCCCCCCCCCCTTTCCCCTCACCCCCCCCTTTCCCCTCCTCACCCCCCTCCCTCCCTCGTCTTGCATTACCCAAACTCAAGGGCAGTGAAGTGGTTTGTTTGTAGCTCGCGCGTGTCTTTGTTTGTTTACTTGTTTGTCGAGCGCGCGTGAGTGAGTGAGTGAGTGAGTGTGTATGACAGCAAGAAGATGAGTGTCATTGTTGTTTCTAGGTTAGGTTAGGTTTTTCCCAACGACAATAAGGTCATTCACAGCGCCATGAACTTTATCTGGGGATTCTTCATATTATTCTCGTCACCTTTTCCTCGTCCTCTCACTTCACCATTCCCCTCTTCCTCCCCTCCCTCCACCACTGCCCTCATTCCTCTCCTCTCATCCCCCAATTCTTAGAACACTAAAACGTGGACAACCGCACTTCAGTTACGGTGTTGCCAGCTAGTGGTCTCCCTCAGCACAACATCGTCAGCTCATAATGTAATGTTACAAGGGTTAAAGACCTTTGTTTGGACAGGTGGTGAAGGTTAACGATATATCTTAGTCTATTAAACACATCAGGTGACCTTGAGAGTCACTAACATGCCAACATGGGCGAAGTGACAAATGATAAAGTTGGCAGAGGAAATTTTTTTCACGGCCAGACTCGAAGGAGGAAGAGGAGGGCTTGCAGAAGCAGGGCAGTCTTCGTGAGGGCGTCGAGTCTGAAGGGTGACAGTCAGCCTCCAGCTACAACAGTTAGGTATCGTCCAGTCAACAGGCAGACAGACAGTCATGTGGGTGAGAATATTGTGGATGTTGGTGTTGGTGGCGGGTCAGTGCTGTAGTCAAGACACCGGCGCCCCGTTCGAGGGAGAGTTACAAGTGGTGAGAGATGATGATACGTTGAACCCTGACTCCAACTTCATTTATGTTGTGAGTAGAGAAATTGAGAACAGAATGGAGATACTTCTTGGACAACTACAACAAAATCTGGAGGCAAGATTCAACCTCATAGAGAAGAATATTGCAGAAAGTTCCTCTGGTGCTGACCGAGAAATGACCAATCCGTTCTATATTACCGACGAATTTCACACCAAGGTAACAGAAATGCTGCACTTGTTCACCAACATGGTGTCGACGAAGGCAAATGAGACGATTAGAGATATGGAGGATAAACTCAACACATTATCCAATAACCTCATCAGTAGAGTGGAGGCGGAACTGTCTCCCGTCAGCAGCGCCATGGACGACTTGAAGGAGGAGATGTCTTCCCTGGCCACCAAGACGGAACTGACGGAGATGAAGGATAGCCTCTCCACTGTGGCCAACTCTTCCGTCAAGGAGTTGAAACAAACACTATCGTCTCTGGCCACACAAACACAACTGTCAGCCAACGCCCAGCAGCAGGCTGTCTACCTCAAGGAAGTTAAACACCTGCTGACTAACAGCTGTATAGCGTCAGCCGACAACCAGAAAGAAGCCTTAGGCGCACTCCTCACCTCCGTCGACTCAAACAGCAAAAAGATGGACGAGTTGTCAGGAGCAGTCCAAACATCTGCCACACACTGCACAGAGCACACCAGTGACACAGCCAACAACTTGACACAACTCATCAATGTCCTGACCGAAAACGTGTCGAACTACGACGCGAGTTTGAGCGACATCACTGAGGACCTGGTAAACGTGGTTACCTTGATGGAGACTAAACTAGCGGCGGTCGAGGACAAAGTCGCAGAGATCCACAGCAACACACAACCTGCCCCCACCACCACCACCACCACCACCACCAAAGCTCCAGGTAAGACATTCAGACATTACTCAACATTATTAACATCTTTCTCACTTTGTTCCAGTCTGTATCACACCAGTTACATGTCCCAGTCACTTTTACTTACAGTCAAATATACAGTAAGTTATCAAACGTATTTTTTACATTATATTTACTTATGTATTTATCATTCTGTCTTCCTCTCTCTCTTTATCCATTATTCCTATTTCATCGACGTTTTTCCCTCTCTCTCTCTCTCTCTCTCACAACTAAGGACGTGTGTGGACATTGATTATAATCTGAACCTCTATCTATCTATCTATCTCACCTTTATCTCTATCTATCTCACTTTTTGTCTCTATCTCTTGCAGCAATACTGAGACCTTGTGAGAATAGTGACTTTAAAGGCAGTGCCGATAAGCTGGACGTGTGTAACGCAGCGGTGCGATTCAAGAAATGTCACCTACAGTTTGTTGCCTTCCACTGCTGCCGCTCTTGTACGGAGGCCGGCCAGATCGAGGGCACAGGACCCTGGAGGTATCTTAATTATCCTCGTCAGATCAGTATCTTTCAGGCCCTGAGTCAAATGAGGCCATAGATGGAGGACCCTGAATTAGTGGTCCCTATGATTATGGTCAAGAGATCATGAAAAGTCCTAAAAGAAATTAATTACCCCTTGATTATACTGGCTTTAACCCTTGAGTATACGGACCACCCTTTGAGTATACTAACCACCCTTTGAGTATACGGACCACCCCTTGAGTATACTGATTTTACCCCTTGAATATATGAACCACCCTTTGAGTATACTAACCACCCTTTGAGTATACTGATCAAGGTGGCTACACGTTGCATCAGTGTATGGCAGGGTAGGTTGATCTGTACCATTTCACAATATATGGAATAATAATCTGTCAATATTGCAATTTATATAACTACTGTAGTTCCATTTATCTTAGCGTGTATTAAAACCAATTTAAGATATGATAAATTTTTGTGTTTTTTTCCCTAAATAGTAAAATAGTTCCCTTTGTTTTAATTAAGATCATTTTAGATTTGTTTAACCCTTTGAGGACGATGGTTTAACTCTGATGACGATGGTTTAACCCTTTGAGGACGAAACGTTTTTGATGGGTTAAATATATCCTAAGTTAAGCAATGGCATGATACTGTATTTCATTGGCTCACGTATACTGTTTTAAGTAAGATAGCCTCTATATGGGGTCCACAACACACTGCGACTGTACGGTAAACACACGAAGGCTCATAAGACTCTAATGTTTTAACTTATAACTATCTCACCTTGATATGGAGTCTAATATCAATATTATCTTTCCCTAACATAGAAAAACCTAGTATTTAGTATTTAATTCACAATTGCAATATATTGTACGAGCAAAAGTAATGTCAACTTGAAAAGAATTATTAACTTACACTTTCTACTTAACGTATTTTAAAGGAACACCTCCCTAACTTGGCTCTTGTAATTTCATTTAAGCAGTTTCTAATTTACAATAATTTCTATTTAAAGTGCATTCATTTTCATAATTTTATTTTATTTCATAAATTTACTTACCTTAGACTTTGTTTACATTAAAGCCACATCACCTCACCAATGTTAGTAACACTGACGCCACCACTAGAGGAAACGAAGGATAAAGTAACCACATTCTCCACACCAGTCACTTCACTTGATATATTTATGACGGTAACAATGTTCTCAACTCTAATAATACAAATATTTTCCTGTGATTTTTGGGACATTGTTGATTACACAAGTTAATGTTGTGCGGTGTTGGTCCTGGCCAGCGACGCCTTGTAAGAGACCAACTTCCAGGTTAACTCATAGAGGTGAGTGGCCCTGGAAATGTGAAATAATATAAGAACTTAAACTTTATTATGGTTCGTAAGTGCCGTCACTTATGATTCTCTCGCAAAATACTTGAACCACTTATACTTATTTACGTTTGTAAGTACCGGCAGATAATTTTTTTCACTATAAATTTAAGTATCGACAGACCTAATTAATTCGCTATATAATACACAATGTTTAGTAGTTTTTACTCCGACTTATTATACCATACAAAAATGACATAAAATTGACTCTTTTCGTAGCACTGTTCATATAATGCCGTTTTATAAGTGTCACTCTGCTTAGTACTTACAATACTTGGTTTATAAGTCTATTAAACCGTGGTAGTACTAATAATAGGAATTATTCTTACGTCAGGCAGTTGGGTACACCTACGTCATCAGGTCCTTGGGGTCGGAGTTAGGGAGCGTAAGTGTAAACATAAAGCTGACCGATGGTGTAGCCAGCGACCACCACCTCCTCATAGCCGTCTCCGTTAAAATCACCGTGAGTCATCTTGCCTGAGGGGGAGAGTGTACTATAGTGTAAGCAGGGTGCATAATAAACTAGCCGGGACTAAGCCGGGTGCACAATAAACTAGCCGGGACACATCTGAGTCTGACCGGAATCTGTTATAATTTTTTTTATACAGTATATCATATATTTTGCTTAATGCTGTCAGTCATGCATAAAGGACATATTGGTTACGTTTGGTTAGGTTACTTTAGCTGGAGTTAGATAGGTTAGGTTAATATAGATTTGGTTAGGTTAGGTTTACCTATGGTGGTCATCTCGGTGTCAACAAGTATGTGCTTCTGGTAGACCCAGTCGTTCCTGTCCTCAGTGTTGGGATACAAGACATACATACGGCCATCATCGTCCCCAGACACCAGGAGGAAGGGCTTGTGTGGCCTGAGAGAGAGAGAGAAAGAGAGAGACCCCATTAACTCTTACACCATATTTTCTATCACTTAAACAAAACCCTTCCCCCTTCCCCCTCTCCCTTCCTCACCCCCCACCTTCTCCTCCTTAAAACAATCACCTCCCCCCACTTCCCTCACCCCTTAGTCTCTCCCCTCCTTACAATAGCCCCTCCTCGCTAAAGGCAGCACCACTCACAGGCCATCTTCAGCCACGTCATCAGCGTAAGCCTTGGAGGGGTAGTAGACCTTGGGGGTACCTGGGGACATCGTCGGACTCCCAAACACCTGGTTAGGGCGGAACCCGTCGGCTATCTTGAGGTGAGGGAATTCGTCCGTCCTAGGGAAAAAAAAGAGAGAGAAATTTGCGATTCAGATACACAGAAAATTGATAAATAAATTTTCATCGATTCAGAAACGCAAAATAGACAAGGTAAATAACTGAACGGATTAATTAATACCTGAAGTCATCTGGGAAGAAGTACACGGTGACCTGACCAACGCCTAGGTCAGTTCTGAACTCAGTGGCACAGAACTCCAACACTCCATCACGGTTGAAGTCGTCCACCAACACATCAAACACCTGGCCAGCTTTTTCATTAATTACACGGGACTTAACCTGCAGGTGATCAGGGACCAGGTGATGGGATGAGTACCTGTGTTATGAGTTGGTGCAGACTGTTTGAATGAACGAATGATCTTTAAAATGATACCATGGTGATGACATGTCCTTTATGTACTATAGTTTAGCTACGACACAACGATGGCCTAGTTTTCTTGGACATTCATCATACACTAGGACACTCGCCAAGCCACTCGGACACTCACCAGGTCCAGGTCGGTCCAGTCGTTGGTCTCACTCTCGGTCCAATAGATAGAGACCTTCTCGTTAAAGAACTCTCCCACGACGATACAGTGGTAGTCGCGGCCACCGGCGCTGAGGGTGACAAGGGCGAAGTGGACATCAGGACCACCACTGGACACCACATGAGCCGGCCACCCCTCGCTGAACCCGGCCCCTGTGTTCTCAAACCATAATAGGTCGTGTTTTGTCGAGCCTGGAGTGAGTGAGTGAGAGATGGGGGATGGAGCGAGGGATTAGGTTGAAGAAGTGTGTTAGTAACTGAACAACTATAATATTGACATAACTAAGTACACACACACACACACACACACACACACACACACACACACACACACACACACACACACACACACACACACACACACGCACACACACACACACACACACACACACACACACACACACACACACACACACGCACACACACACACTTCATCCTGACCACCGAAGGGTCAAGACGTACCTGGCGCTCCTCTCGGAGCAGCCAGGTCAACTGTTATGTTGGCCCATACCAACTCCCTCCCCTGAACCCTCCTCCCCACCGGAATATCAACAAGTTCACGCCAGAAGTTACTATTTCATTTAGGAAAGAAATGGAACCAGTGTTAAACAGAGGTGAACAGTGGTGAACAGTGCTTAAGTCAGTGAGAACAACTCAACAGTAACAGTGGTACCCAAGTTGACCTTTCACACAGTGAGGTCCCAGGTACCCAGTGATAACGGCCTGTGAGACCCAACTACCAGCGATGTGTTAATCCGTCTACGATAGGAAGGCCTGGAACCACACCTCACTCATATAACACCATCTGTGAGGGAATTACTACACCATGTGAGGCCCCTCATAACACCATATGTGAAGGAGTTACTACACCACGTGAGGCCCCTCATAACACCATCTGTGAGGGAATTACTACACCACGTGAGGCCCCTCATAACACCATCTGTGAGGGAATTACTACACCACGTGAGGCCCCTCATAACATCATCTGTGAGGGAATTACTACACCAAGTGAGGCCCCTCATAACACCATCTGTGAGGGAATTACTACACCACGTGAGGCCCTCCTAACACCATCTGGGAGGAATTACTACACCACGTGAGGCCCCTCCTAACACCATCTGGGAGGGAATTATTACACCACGTGAGGCCCCTCATAACACATCTGTGAGGGAATTAATACACCACGAGGCCTCTGTAATTCATCTGTGAGGGAACTACTACACCACGTGAGGTCCCTCTTAACACCATCTGGGAGGGAGTTACTACACTACGTTTTTGCTGTTCAACACCTACATTAATCTGTATGTTCACTGTATGTTCCTTTACCTTTCTCTAATGAAGGCTTTTGTTAAACCACCAATGTATGTAATAAGTCATTTATGTCCAAATGTATATTTTCACACACATGAAGATTTACCTATAAGAGGCTGATGGAACCTGGCTGTGAGGGCGTCCAGATCACCATCAACATCCATGTCCTTCCACACGACCCGATGATACGACCACGCCAACTGCAGGACGACACACGACTATTACGACCAGTGTCTGCCACATACTGCGTCTTAGAAGTTAATTCATGGAACAACTGATGATTACTCACCCTAACGCTAATCTAACGTTCCCTATAGGGGTAGGGTAGGGTAGGGTAGGGTAGGGTAGGGTAAGGCAGGGTAGGGTAGGGTAGGGTAAGGTAAGGTAGGGTAGGGTAGGTAAGGAAAGGAACATAATCTTCGTCGTGTGTGTTCAGAAAGGATGGCTATAAGGGGAGGGTGAAGGCCGTGACAAGGATAGCAGCAGGAGTAAGGAGTTGGTTACACCGTTAATGCACTCGGCCACAACACTAACTCAACCCAGCCGAGTGTTCGTCGTACCGTGTCCTTGGAAGCGATGTTGTAGGGGCCGAGCACCGGGTCTTTGGTGGTGTTGTACATCTGTAGTTGTCCCTCCGTCTTGCCCGGCACCAGGAACCCCGACGACCAGATCACTCCTTCAGCGCCGCCTATGGAACCTGAGGAGTAACACACTCTCAACGTCTTTTCCCTCTCTCTCCACACACACACACACACAGGTATAGGTACTCACTTGGCAGGTAATCAGGGTTATTGGGCCAGAAGGCAGAGTTATCCATCACCTCCACCTGCCAGGAAGCCACATCGTCCAGGTACCGTCCAGGTGATCTCATCCTGTACACGTTATCCACCTGTAAACAGCACACCCGAGTCACCTCCAAATACAGTCTATCCTCAGGTGAGTTAATTACGAGAATAATAGTTAAGATTATAGTACTCTTGGACTTTATTATTATTAAGTATTTATCATTCTTCTACAATGCATTACAAAATATTAGTTTTCATTACATAATATGATTTAAGATATTAGTAAAACAACATTCAACTTATTTAAAATTATGGTAAATAAAGATACGAGAAGTGTTGTTTGATCAGCAGGTGAGGGACTACGGTATTAATTTATTTATACAAGATGAAACAAACAAAACCAACTTAATCTGTCTAACTTAACAAATTTACCCCCTCCCCCCCAAATATTTCAAGATAGTTTGTTCAATTTAAGTTGTTTTAATACCGTAGTCCTACACTTTAACTCCCTTGTGTGTGTCACTTACCCCACCAAAAGGGTCGAAGGTTGAGATGTATATGGTCCAGCGGTCTAGGTAGTCCAAGGTCTCATCCTCACTGATGTACGCCTCGGTGAACGCTGCATGCTGGCGGTCACACACACACACGAGACTATTAACACCAACAATTTAAAAGGAAATACGGAATAGATTATATAATGCAGTGATTCGTCATAAGGAGAGACACTGATATTTAGATAATAGATAAATGAGGGTTTAAAATGTCCACCAAGATGAAGGAATCATTTACCTTAAGAGCAGTTTGGCCAAGGAAGCGAGGCTGCCAACCAGGCTTCTCGACAGCTGCCACCACCACCACTACTGCCACCACTATCCTCAACCACCACCTGCCGAGTTACACAGCGATAGTAATAACAAATATTTCCCTTAATAATACATAACTGGAGATTATTATTTTGTATTTTAATTACATGTTAACAATACAGTATAAAGATGTTTTACCGCCAAAGACTATTATATACTGAAGGGTTATACACATGTAGGTATTTTCACACACATGTACACATCACATATATACATAGATTCGTACACGTATATACAGACATGTACAAAAAGAAAGTACATATATGAACAAAACATACAAGCATACGACTGTATTTACAAACACACACACACACACACACACGCACACACACACACGCACACGCGCACACACACACACACACACAGTCATCTACTTACATGGCGTCTTTGCTCAGCGGGACTAAATAAGAGATGTTGTGTTTTCCTTCTCTTATATATAAACCTTTGTGCTATCAGCCCCTCCCTCACCCGCCACCACCCTCCCTCACCCAACCCCTCCCTCACCCAGCCCCTCCACCCTCACCCAGCCCCTCCCTCACCCAGCCTCCCTCACCCAGCCCCTCCCTCCTCACCCAGCCCCCTCCCTCCCTCACCCAGCCCCTCCCTCCCTCACCCAGCCCTCCAGGTTTGTTTCTCGTTTCTTGTCTCTCACTGTCTGTTTCTCTATATATCAGTGAATTTGTCTGTCCTTATCTCTGTATCGGTATTTATCTGTCTTTCCTTTTGTCTACCCCTCTCCCTCTCACCTCTCAGTCCTACCCCTCTCCCTCTCACCCCTACCCCTCTCCCTCTCCCCTCTCAGTCCTACCCCTCTCCCTCAAGATATCTACTCCACTACCCTAGAGTAAACACACACACACACGTCAAAGATTTACCAAAGCTCCAGCTATCACGTGTGTATCAGCTGATATGAGAGTCAACAGCTGATGGGAGTAAACACAGCTGACAGGCACTATTATTCCACCTCACTCCCTCATGCTGACGTCCTCATTCCTCTCTCTCTCTCTCTCATTCTTGTCATTTACCTGCTGAGTGCCTCTTAATACGCGGCTCTACCCCATGTTTACCATATATAAGATAGGAGATAAGCTAACCTATCCTCCCATCTCTCAGTGAAGCTTAATGGGTGAGGGTGAGGGTGTATCTGTAGGTCAACAACACGACGAGTTGCTTAGTAGAGGATCCTGTTGAGAAATTTAATCTTCGTAAAGGACTCGATTGTGTGTGTGTGACGTGGCGGCCATCTTGGGGTTCACGCTTACGATCCTTCTTTGTTTATCATTCTATTTGTTTATATCTTATTCTATATCTGATTTGTTTATGTATCGTGTCGTATATATTTATCATTCTATATTTTATTTATCTATTATTCTAGATCTAGTTACATCTGTTCATTTATCATTCAATATTTATTTGTATCTGTCATTCTTTCTATTTCATTTTATTTGTTAAATGTTCCTCTGGTTTTCTTAACATTTTATACGCTTATTTACTTCACGTTTTCATAAGTCATTTTCTCCTTGTGTTAAGTAATGTTTATAAAGTTGTTGTTGTCTCAGTCTTTTCTTTCCTGGAATTCCTCTGCGTGTTTAGTGTTAATTTTGTTGACACTTTAAAATGTTTTCATTGTGTGTGTGTGTGTGTGTGTGTGTGTGTGTGTGTGTACAGTATATATCTATTTTTTCTCTGGGGTGATTATTCATATGTATGTGTGTGTATGAGTGTGTATGTGTCTGTGTATGAGTGTGTATGTGTGTGTATGAGTGTGTATGTGTATGAGTGTGTATGTGTGTGTATGAGTGTGTATGTGTCTGTACTTATGTATGATCGTATATGCGTGTTGTATGTAGGTGAGGTTGACACACACACTCAAGAAGGAAACATTATCTCGGGTTAAAATAAACATTATTATACACAATAACTTTACTCTAAACCCACACAACAGTAAGAACCCTAACAATATGTATAAATAACAAGTACAGACTAACAACTACTTCAACCACACTATAAACACACCCGGAAATAAATGACCAACTACTCAAGGCTCCAGAGTGACCGAGTAGAGACAACACCCACAGTCCGCCCAGCTGTAAGTATACCCACTCGTTCCATAAAGTATCACTTGGATTTTGTGTGAGGTATTATGACACAACGGTCGAAGGATTTTGACACACTCCCTACCATGACAACAGGAGTCGCAGTGCTTATAGTCCTCAGACCTCTCCTTAAGAGATACATTTATTGGAGCAAGTTCACCTCCCTTAACAGTTGAGGAAATTGGGTTGGTTAAGTGCTGTGCCGTCCACCTTGACTTCATATGAAGGCTTAGTATATAAAGTCCTTAAATGGTCATTTGGACTTTGGGAATCACTTAAAAGTCTAATCTAATCTAACCTACAGTACTGTATAGGGGTCGCCAGGAGGCTGTATCATATATAATATTTTTAATCTCACTATGAAAAATAACCATTGAAATAGTCGAGAAAATCGTAAACAAGAACTCGTATACAATGGCAGTCCAAGTCAAGGTATTGATAGGAGTTAAAGTGCCACGCTTATCACAGCAAGTTATTGTAAGAGACGTCAGGCAGGTGAGAGGCTATGGTGAGGGAAGCAATCACTCAACACTCCTCCTCGTGCTGCAGCAGGTGAGGGCGATGCTTCAAGAGGCAGCTGTTGTATACACCGACACCATACATGTGTACACTCTCTCACGTCTAAACTTAAGGAAGAACTTATATAAAGACGTAGGAATGAGTGTTTGAGAATTTAAACTCTGGTGCCTTAACACAAGAGTCTTCTGTTATGTGTAGGAATCGGGTCCTGATGCCACCACAGCCCAGGTTGGTGCCTTCATGTACTGCTCAGGCCTTGGTAATGGCACCATAGCCCAAATTAGTGCCAGTAGAGAGGAGCAATTCACTAGAGTTTGAGCTGAGAGAACTGCCACTTGCTTCACCCGTCTCACGTTCAGCTGAGGGTCAGACAGAGGGAAGGAAAACATAAGTTACAATCTCCCTCAAAACAGTGAACACATTTGGACCTTAAACAAATGTACTGTAACGAAAGTACCTGGAAATCAAGTATTAATTCTATGTAATAATATGTCTAATAACCTCTGTTATATGATCGATATGTAATGTAAAAGGTAATGAAATAATATACATAATTACCTGTATTAATATGTATCCTCTTACCAATGTACACATAGCCCTGGGCATACTTATAGTCTAATTATTATGGAAATATCAAATAGCCCCGCCCTCTTTCTCTCGCCATGGCTTGTGATTGGTCAGTTAGAGGGCAAATAATTAATGAAGTGCTGTAGATTGGACTAAAATTTGTTCCACAGAAGATACTGCTACATTATCCAATCATACTGGTGGGCGGGGCCGAGTCTGACGTCATACTGATGGGCGGGGCCGAGTATGACATGTGCCATAATGAACAGACAATAGATACTCACTCACTCACTCACTCACTCACCCACCCACTCACTCACTCACTCACCCACCCACTCACTCACTCACTCACTCACCCTGGAGCAGCTTTTGGGTTCGTCCAAGTCTCTGGCGGTTAATGAGGCAGATGGCGATGAAGGCGGTCATGAGGGGGACGAAGATGCCCAAACTCATGACGTGTCGGAAATAATCGGAGCAGTTAGTGCCATTACACCACACCCTGCCAGGAGACACAAAGGCCTTTATTAGGTTAGGTTAAGTTAGGCGAGTCAGTCAGTGGTGTCGTCAGTCTAGGTCAGTCCGTCAGTCAGAGGATCAGTCAATCAAGATTGTTAATGAGATGGTACACACAGGTAAACAAAGTGAGGTAGAGACACACACCAGGTGAGACAGAGGGACACACACCTGGTCAACTCCTGGATAATCAACACAGCCACACCGTTGATGATCTTGTCAGCGAAGCTCATGGATCCATACACAAAGGCGGAGCTCTCCTGTGAGACGAGGCGACAGGTCAGTGTTACATAGTACACACGGACACCAAACCGCAATACAGTACACTGACTCTACATTCTTACACATACAGCCGCCTCCACTTACACTTGGTACAGTGCCTGGCGCAATTTGTAAGATGTGGCACCACTGTGTTTGTTTACATCATATTAAAACTCCCGGAATGGCCCTAAAGACCCTCACAATGGTAGCCACTCAAGATAAACATTCCACAGAGTTGCCACATCTCTCAAAAATACACCAGTCAATGTACCAGGAATAAATGCAAGCGACTGCACACAAATATAAACCAACATTGAAAACAAACAAGGAAACATTTTTGAGGGGAGGAATATTTATAACCTTTATCCATGATAGACTCACCGTGCTCCTGCCTATAAGATCAGCAGTGAAGGCGAGGGAGATGATGACGAGGATGGAGCTGGAGGTCCCCCACAGGATGGCAACAATGTACATCCCAAACTCCGGTATCCAGGGCAGAGCTGATACTGTGGCCGCTACCAACCCTATCACGATGCCTACCACCACTGACGCCTGCAACCACGTTATTGTTATTGTATATATTGTCATTATTACTGTATGATTATTATTATTATTATTATCTATAACCACCAGACACTAACTGATATTAACATTACAATGGTAAACTTGTATTACAGCGCCGGGTGTCAGAGACCAGGAAATACGCTACATGTACACTACCTTCTTGCCGATACACTTCCTCAGCGACCGCAGGAGGAAGGAGGCGCCCACACCCGACAGACTCATCACCAGGGGCACCGTGGCGATCAGTTCCTGTATTAACATCGAGTCACCTGAAGATTATCGCCCATAGTTTTATTTCACCCTAATATTAACCTTCCTAAAAAGTATCGTTGATGTTAGTTTACATATTATCGTTGAGGACTTACCTGCCTGGCGTGTATGGTCTCCTGAAGATATATGGGCATGTATATATTGGCAAGGTTGGCCACCAGGCGGGAACACGCGTACAGGAGTGTGATCTGCAGGAACACATCATACCTTAATACAATATACTTATACAATACATTAACACAGTACAGTAATGGAATATACAGTAGTTTGGTGTGTGTGTGTGAGGGTGGGTGCATATGTGTGTGGGGGGGTGTGTGTGTGTGTACCTGATAAAATTGGGGCTCCGCCAACCAGTCCTTCCACATCATACGGACGTGGGCGGTGTAAGAGTTGACGGGTTGTTCCTCCTGCTGGGGGGTGCTGGTGGTGGGGGATGTCTCAGCCTGGGTCTCAGATGCCGCCACCTCCTGATAGGCTTCTGCTTGTGTCCTGGTGGAGGCTCTCTCGGGGGTGAACAAGTGGAACAAGACGGAGAAGAATGTTCCCACGACCAGTACAGTGATGGTGATAGTCTGTAATGGTTAGGTTAGGTTAGGTTAGGGTCCTGTCACACCCTTATTTATCTTCTTAGTTACACTTTTATCATTTTCTCTCTCTCTTTTCCTTCCTCCGTCTCCCATTTCTCTTATTCCCTGTCCCTCGTTACCTCCTCTTCTTCATACCAGCCTCTCCCTCTCCCTCCCTCTCCCTCTCCCTCCCTCTCAAGTATTACCTTAAAGTTAGAAGCATCACCCGGGTCGACGAACTTGTTAGCTGTGGTTGTGTCCTCAGCGAAGGTGATCCACGCCACCAGGTACACCAACACGTCACTGCACACGTCGAGGATGTACCTGTGGGGCAAGGTGTTGGGTTAGGTTAGGAAGGTGTTTTGGTGGAGGAGCTGGTGAGGGTGCTGCCGTCAGTGGTGGTGTTGGTGGTGGTGGTGTTGGTGAGGGTGTTGCCGTCAGTGGTGGTGTTGGTGGTGGTGGTGTTGGTGAGGGTGCTGCCGTCAGTGGTGGTGTTGGTGTACAATGAGGATACACGGCTGGACAGTCATGAGGGTAAGTGAGGAAGCACCTACAGGGTTGTGAATCATCATGGAACGCTCACATGACTACTACTACTATGACTACTACGACTTCTACTACTACTACTACCACTACTACGACTTCTTCTACTACTACGACTTCTACAACTACGACTTCTACTACGACTCTGACAGGTCCCTAATTATATCAAGTTCCACCAAGCCATCACTGAGAGGGGCATTTGGTCATCTACGAATCACTGTAAGCCTGACCTGGAGCTGTTGACCCCTGACCTCAACTTGACCCGGGAAACGTTAGTGCCGTGTATGCTAACTCCGGAGGCTGAATCACCTGGTATGGGCGTTAGGTGGAAGGGAGGGGCGGGAAGTAGGCGTGAGGTGGGTGGGGGAGGGCGGGGGTAGTGTCAGGTGACGCCCCGACGGTAACATAAGACGCCGCTGGTCACGAGAAGCTGTCCAGGTGAGATGTGTTTACCTGTCGTGTCCCCCCCTTACCCCCCACCCTCACATGGCCCTCTCACCCCCACCCTCACATGGCCCTCTCACCCCCACCCTCACTATAGCTAATATTACACAACATGGCCCGCCAATACTGGGACATAATCCAGAGTGTCATATACTAGTGTCGTGTACCAGGGTGTCACGTACCAGAGTGTCACGTACCAGGGTGTCACGTACCAGGGTGTCACGTACCAGGGTGTCACGTACCAGGGTGTCACGTGTCACATATCCCCACAAGGTTCATGTTCATTTCTGCAGACACACTTAAATAATAACGACGACGATGATGATGATGATGATGATGATGATGATGATGATGATTGGAGGGAGAGGTGGAAGAGGAAGAGGAGGGAGAAGGGGAGGAGGAGGGAGAAGGGGAGAAGGTGGGAGAAGGGGAGGAGGAGAAGGTGGGAGAAGGGGAGGAGGAGAAGGTGGGAGAAGGGGAGGAGGAGAAGCTAGAGAAAGAGAAGGAGGAGGAGGTACTGGCAACTCAGAGGCCATACAACCACACAACCAACGTTGTTAGGAAGCAGCAAGGTGTGAGGTGTCGAGTGTGAGGTGTAGAGTATAAGTGAGGAGAGGTTCACGTATAAGTGAGGAGAGGTTCAAGTATAAGTGAGGAGAGGTTCAAGTATAAGTGGCTTACCTGATGATGTTCAGTTCATCTCTCTCAGCCTCCAAGTTGGTGAGATCAGGGATGAGGGCCAAGTGGGATACCTGCGTCGCTGCCCACCCGAACTGTGTGTGGGTAGGTAGGTTAGGTTAGGTTAGGTTAGGGTAAGGTTGGGTCGGGTTGGGTGAGGTTGGGTTGGGTGAGGTTGGGTTGGGTAAGGTTGGGTTGGGTAAGGTTAGGTTGGGTTGGGTTGGGTTAACTATAAACATATCAAATTGGTATTGAACAAATTATATACAATCTCTCTTATAAAACTGACTCTGAACATGACTCCAAAACACGTGTGGGACAGGTAAAGGACAGGTAATTAAGAGACACCTCACCTGGAACAGACAGATCATGAAGCCCAGCAGAAGGATGTAGCCGAAGCCCAGAGTAGCGAAGCATAACCCACACACGATGAAGATAAACGGGAAAGAGACCAACACACACACGGTACCTAGGAGGGGGGGGGGTAGGGTAAGTGAGGGCTCTCTTCTTAACCTGACCTGACCTGATCTAACCTAACCTAACCAAACCACTACACATACAAAACAAGAGATGAACCCTCCTTACCAATAGCATGCCAGGACTTCCTCCGGCCGTAGGTGCAGAAGGAGCAGCCTCGGTCACTCTGTAGGCCTATGAGGGGTGTGGAGACGGCATCAGCCACCTGTCCCATCAGTAGAAGAAACCCTGAGAGGCCCCTGTCCAGCTGTGGGGAGGTGCAGGGGTCAGTGGTGGCAGTGGTGGAGGGGTTAGTGGTGGTAGTGGTGAAGGGGTTAGTGGTGGTAGTTGTGCAGGGGATAGTGGTGGTAGTGGTGGAGGGGTTAATGGTGGTAGTGGTGCAGGGGATAGTGGTGTGGTAGTGGTGGAGGGATTAGTGGTGGTAGTGGTAGAGGGGTTAGTGGTGGCAGTGGTGGAGGGGTTAGTGGTGGCAGTGGTGGGGGGAGGGTGGCAGTGGTTGAGGGGTGGCAGTGGTGGAGGTTAGTGGTGGCAGTGGTGAGGGGTTAGTGGTGGCAGTGGTGAGGGGTCAGTGGTGGCAGTGGTGGAGGGGTTAGTGGTGGTAGTGGTGAAGGGGTTAGTGGTGGTAGTTGTGCAGGGGATAGTGGTGGTAGTGGTGGAGGGGTTAATGGTGGTAGTGGTGCAGGGGATAGTGGTGTGGTAGTGGTGGAGGGATTAGTGGTGGTAGTGGTAGAGGGGTTAGTGGTGGCAGTGGTGGAGGGGTTAGTGGTGGCAGTGGTGGAGGGGTTAGTGGTGGCAGTGGTTGAGGGATTAGTGGTGCTGAAAGAGGAGGTAGTGGTGTCAAGGAGTTATGATATTAATAATAATAATAATAATAATAATAAAAATAAAACTTAAATAATGACATTTATATAAGAAACGAGGTTTCCATTGACGCACCTGGAGGTAATTAACTCACCTGGAGGACATACTGCAAATAGACCAGGAGGTAGGTGAACCACATGGAGGCACACAGGTCATTAAACACATGACCCACACCATAGGCTAACTTAACCTGCCTAGTGAGAGCCATCGTAGTGGTGCTAGTGGTGGTGGTGCTAGTGGTGGTGGTGCTAGTGGTGGTGGTGCTAGTGATGGTGGTGCTAGTGGTGGTGTAGAGGTGTTAGTAGTAGCAGTGGTGAGTAAAGTTGCAGGTAATGGCAGACAGTGGCAGATCTCGGAGCGAAGGACAAGTTGTGACACCGTAGCAGACAGCCGAGTTATATCTGTTAAGAGAAGAGAAAGAACGGCGTTAAAACTCATGAATTAATGAGAGAGAGAGAGAGAGAGAGAGAGAGAGCTCCCCTCTCCTAATTAATGTTTCGAGGGAAGTTTAAAGATAATAATGGTTAGGTTAGGTTGAAAGAGAAAGATAAATAATGTAGCCAAACCTAACCTAACCATACCATTCCACAGACCTTTAACTTGTGTCTCTCATTTCCTTCCCACGAGGAATAAGTCATATGGCTTACCCTTCCACCCTCCCTCCCTCCCTCTCTCCTCTCCCCTTCCACCCTCCCTCCCTCCCTCCCCCCTCTCTCCTTACCTATACCAAGATACACGCGAAGTCTGACCAGTACTTGAGAGGGATCACCTGAAGATTAGACACCCCAAGCTTATTTCACCTGTAGATTAACCTAACCTAACCTAACTCTAACCTCACTTAACATTAACTAACCTAACCTTAAACATCAGGTAAAATAAACTGTCTCATTTTAAGCTACAACACCTTGCTTGATGGATGGCAGACAATATGACCTCAAAATTATACACCAGACTATTAGATGCCTTCACCTATCTCAGTTTCAATGGGGGGGAAGGGGGAAGGGGGATGGGGGAGGGAGGGGATGGGGGGATGGGGGGTAGTGTAGAGCGTGTCTGCAGCTTTATGATTCCGCCTTCACAGTTGAGAACGCACACGTACGGTTTATTTACTTACATGACCTACCCTAATATATCTTAACCAAATTTAACTTAACTCAACCCTAACTTAGCCCTACCCTACCCTAACTTAGCCTAACCTACCTCTTGATTAACCCTTAACACAAATGAATTTTTAGTGCAAGTTAACATGACACACACACACACACACACACACACACACACACACGTTCTAAAAACAGTATGGTGTCACCTTTGCAGTGGATGGGACGTGAGAAAGAGTGAGTGGAGGGGGGGCGGGTATAGTGCAGCGTGACACTATACCCAATATGGCCGGTATGGTGTGGGTACTAACTCTACTATAACTGACCAGCGGAAGTCATGATTATACTATCATATACACGAGGTTAATGTCTCCCTATTGAAAACTTAATCTAATCCAAATACCTTCATCCTTAACTAACTATTGTGAATCGCAGGTTAGGTTAAGTTAGGTTAAGACTTTGTTAGGTTAGGTTATGATGATAGGTTAGATTAATGTTAGGGCGTTTAATAATTAGGTGAAATAAGCTGGGGTGTCTAATCCTCAGATGACTCTAAAGTAAATGTAACAATCTTTGATAATCCGAATCCAGACTCACCTGTTGTGTGTGTGTGTGTGTGTGTGACGGCCAGGTAGACTTGTTACGGTGTTTTCTGGCGTCACGGTGATCTTGAGGTGTCCTTGTGACGGTCAGGAGGAGGCAACCATTAACCTACACATCCTCGTTAGTCGGTGGAGAACAAATGACAATAGTAATCCAAATGGTGTTTATTTTCTATCAACATTTTTGTTTCTCGATAACTTATACAGTATAGTTTGTTCATTAACTGTCTATGTGTCATATCAAACACATCCTCACCATCTGAAGGAAAATCGTTTTAAAAGTAAATAAAGTTTACTTATCCACACTTAAATTTGGCTAAAGTCTTGACCACACGACACATCACAACAACGTTTCCAGGCCTCCTACTCAGACTCTAGGCCGAGCAGTCAAGAACCACCTGTGACTCACTCTACTGGCGTCTTTCTGCACAAGTTTTAGTAATCTTCGAGTTAGATTATTACTATATATCTCCAGGAGAACTTTGAGAATCAGAGAGAGACGAAGAGATGCGTTGAGACAGAGAGACGGAGAGACACTGGACAACGAGTATCTTATACGATCAGATGGGTCACGAGACAGTGGTGGTGGTGGGCCTCTGTGTAGCAAGCCCCTTCCCCCTCACCACCACATGACTACCAGCTCAGGTGCTCCAACACTCAGGTTACCTGCCGCACGGGGTTAACCACGGCTCCTCTCACTCGTATTGTAAGCCCACCAATCTCTCACTAAACACTCAAATATCTCACCAGAGAGTAAAAGTAAATTATTCTTCTTTATGATTGGTAAATAACTTACGAGGTGAAAGTTGTCTGACATAAGAAACCCAACAAGATCCCTCTCTCTCAGGTCGACAAGCTCCCTCCCTCCCTCACTCCCTCCCTCTCAGGTCGACAAGCTTCCTCCCTCGTTACGCCATGTATGCTAGTAGGTAACGTAACTCATCGGGTGTCTGTATATATGTTTGTCTGTGTATGTGAATGGTATATTGATGTATACACGCATATGTATGTAAATATCACTGGTTAGGTTAGGTTAGATTCGGTTGCGTCTGGTTAGGTTAGGTTCGGTTGCGTCTGGTTAGGTTATGTTAGGTTAGGTTAGATTTAGTTGTCGTAAAATGTGTTAGTTGTTAAATAGGGAAACGTACCTCCAGATAAAGTCCAGTCAGTAATGTCACGTTAGTAGTCTGTTCACGTTACCATATTCCCCTTGACAATGGACTTGGTAACGTAGTGGAAAAGTCCGAAAAGACCGGATAACTATTCATCCCGCTGTCATAAGTCCGGTCTGTTGCAGTTTTCTCGGCGCTAAACGTCCGAGCAGTAACAACGGTAACAACTATGGTACATCGACCACTCTTGTCTGGTCAGGATGTTAACAAATGATGCATACGAGGAGACTCCACCCCCAGAACGGCTATGACTATGACGTCACCATCACGTCATAGCTGGCAAGACAGGTCAGAGGGGTGTGAGTGCCAGGTCCCTCCACACACACGTAGGGAAAGTGCCATACCCTTCCCTACACACATCCTGGTGAGTGCCTTGTGTTCCCAAGCTCTGGCGTTAGTCTTGGCACCTAGGGGAGAGTGGAGTAGTGGTGATCGTTGGCATTACACAGTATGGACAGTAGCAGTGTTCCCACGTGTGTCGAGCCGGACATCCTGTAGCAACGTGACCGAAGGTGTGCCAACCCCCCCGCTGATGGTGGCAGAAAGTGAGCAACAGAGCTAATTATATATACCTCATACAACACCAAGGACACACACTCATAGAACGTTTGGAAACATTTCGAGAAGGAGTGAACTAGGTCGAAAAAAATTAATCTTGCTACGACAAACTACAAACTAATGTGTGTTAGTGACGGTGACGTGTGTTAGTGACGCTGGTGACGGTGACGGGTGTTAGTGACGCTGGTGACGCAGACGTGTTAGAAGATTTACCGCGACGGTGGACGTGTTAGTGACTTGCTGGTGACGGTGACGTGTTAGTAACGGCTGGTGACGGTGACGTGTGTTGCGACGGCTGGTGACGCAGACGTGTGTTAGTGACGGCTGGTGACGTGTGTTAGTGACGGCTGGTGACGTGTGTTAGTGATTTGCGACGTGTTAGTGATTTGGCTGGTGAGGTGTGTTAGTGACGGCTGGTGACGGTGACGTGTTAGTGGATGGCTGCTGCAGACGGTGACGTGTTAGTGACGGCTGGTGACGGTGACGTGTTAGTGACGGCTGGTGACGGTGACGTGCGTTTAGTGACGGCTGGTGATTGTGACGTGTGTTAGGTGACGGCCAGACGGTGACGGTGTTAGTGACGGCTGGTGACGGTGACGTGTTAGTGATTACCGGTGACGGTGACGGTGTTAGTGACGGCTGGTGATTTGGTGACGTGTGTTAGTGACGGCTGGTGACGGTGACGTGTGTTAGTGACGGCTGGTGACGGTGAGAGGTACAGCGTCGTGCATCAACACTTAACACCAACATAAACATTAATTACAACTACTTAAAAGGAGCTCACTTGACATAACTACAGTGTCACTTAGAAAATACTGTCACGTGATCCATAGTGCCAGTATTGTGCTGATCAGTCATCATGAGACCAGTGCCCCTAGTCCACCTCATACTGGGCTTCAGCATCCTGTGTAGCTGCGTCGCCCTCCCCAGCAGCGTCCTACAAGAGCCCCAAGACCTTCCTGACTCTGACGGTGATCATCAAGTGGGTGTACCGTCATCCTCCTCCTCCTCCTCCTCCTGCTGCTATCTTATCATAACCGTCCACGATGTTTCTACTTCCCTGTCGTCTCCTCCAGGTGTGTTGACTACTGCCGAGGAAGACACTGGCGGAGGGGTAGGAATAGAAAGTGCCGAGGAGGAGGAGGCCATGGAGGAGGTTGATGAAAACAGGGACCTGACACTCACCCAGATGAGAGACATACTGAAGAAGGCATACTCGAGGTCCTGCCACTCTAACACGACATCTTGATCTACCCAGTGTGTGTCCAGTCTTGGTTATAATTACTAAATAATTCCCTGGAGACTTTATTATGACAAGCAAAGGTCAAGTACATAATGACTCACATATAGATACCAGATATTGTGGCGTGTCGAAGGTAATAATAATAATAATAATAATAATAATAATAATAATAATAATAATAATAATAATAATAATAATAATAATAATAATAATAATAACAACAACAACAATAAGTCAGTAGCCCCTTGATAACCAAACACCATCACCTCAACAGAAGACGTCATCACAAAAACAGCCGAGAGGGAAACGGGAGAAGAGGCAGCAAGGAATCGAGAGAAAGAAGAAGGAAGACATCTAAGAAAGGAAGAGGGAGGAAGGGGCACAGTAAAGAGGACAGAAGACACGGGAAGAGGGATAAGAGGAAAATGCACGGGAGACATCACCATAGTAGTAATAATGAGGAGATATTTATTGACCTACCTCCTACACTATGGCCTCCACGCCCTGCCCACACGCCTACCACCACACCATCATCTACTTATACTACAACACACTCTACTACTACCAAAACACTCTCTTCTACTGAAACATCTACGACATCCCTTACTACGACCCCTGAGCTACCAACCACGACCACCTCTTCTTCACGACTTACCACTTTGACGACCACCACACCCAGCCTAACTACAACACCGACTGTATCCACGACGGTAACTACGACTCCTACAGTAGCTACGTCGTCAACCCCGTCACCACCCAGGTCAGCAGCAACCTCCGGATTTCCTGACAGCCACACGCCCCTGACCCTTGAACCAGAGGCTGAAACTCTGTTCCCTCTCCTCTAGTATTGCCTGGTGGCCCTTGACTGCTCCTACTAACTGGTCTCATTAACTGGGATGGTTCATCAGTCTCCGGCAATCAGGGTTAACTGAATCAATGTGAAGTTATATGAGGACTGTAGTGAATAAATGAATTAATAAATAAATAGCTTTCTATCCCTCCAACTATCCATATAAAGACCCAGAATATTATATAATGAGGAGAAGGGAGAGGGAGGAAGGGACGGAGGAAGGGAGGGAGGGAGGGGTCCTATAGGCAAGAGAGAAGGGAGAGAGGAGGCAGAATGTGGGTAAGGAAGGAGAGAGAGAGAGAGAGAGAGAGAGAGAGAGAGAGAGAGAGATGACGTAGATAAGACAACAACATATTTGTGGTTGACCTTCACGAGTAACCACCACAGTTTATCCCAGGAAAGTCATAGACGATCACCTGAAGATTAGCCCCCCAAGCACATTTCACCTTAAGATTAACTAACCTAATGATAACCTAACCTAACATACCTTAACGCTAGCTAGCCTAACTCCATGTTATTCACAGGACGAACAACAACAAATGAATGTCTATCTCTGAACCACAACTTTATTCCCCAGGATGAAATACAACTGACGATCTACTACTCTATGACGTCACAGCCCTCAGTTATATTCCCAGGGGGCACAACAACTGACGATCTACTACTCTATGACGTCACAGCCCTCAATTATATTCCCAGGGCGCACAACAACTGACGATCTACTACTCTATGACGTCACAGCCCTCAGTTATATTCCCAGGGGGCACAACAACTGACGATCTACTACTCTATGACGTCACAGCCCTCAGTTATATTCCCAGGGCGCACAACAACTGACGATCTACTACTTAATGACGTCACAACTCAGCTATATTCCCAGGACGAACAACTAACCTATGACGTCACAACCCAATCTGTTTTTGTTATTACCTCGTAAAAACTCACCTCATTCATTCTCTAACGCAGAGCTTTTGTTAACAACCTTCTGTGTAACGTATCCAGGATGTGAAGCAGCTTCCACCAAAACAAATGAAGAGCTCTGTCAGGCGTGGTGCATCTCTCTCTCCGATTACATAACCAAACAATAGGCTCTCTCTCTCAGCTACAGCAACAGGGTAACACTGTAGTAACCTCTGGGAGCCAACATAACGCTCATACTTCAGTAGTAAACTTCATAGGGGAGATTTTCAATGGTATAAATCACTCTTGCAAGACACAGTTCACAGTCAGAGGGTTTCAATGCACAGTTCACAGTTATATAATATTACAAGACAGTTCACAGTCAGAGGGTTTCAATGCACAGTTCACAGTTATATAATATTACAAGACAGTTCACAGTCAGAGGGTTTCAATGTACAGTTCACAGTTTTATAATATTACAAGACAGTTCACAGTCAGAGGGTTTCAATGTACAGTTCACAGTTTTATAATATTACAAGACAGTTCACAGTCAGAGGGTTTCAAAGCTCATTTATCGAGTGTTTTAGTTCAGTCATTTAAACCAACTTGCAAAACATAACAGCAGTTCACGGTGGTAGAGACTAACACAAGCGGCTGGCGAGGAGGTGTGCAGGAGGTGTGCAGGAGGTAGAGGAGGTGTGCAGGAGGTGTGCAGGAGGTAGAGGAGGTGTGCAGGAGGTAGGAGGAGGTGTGCAGGAGGTGGGAGGTGTGCAGGAGGTAGGAGGAGGGAGGAGGAGGAGCTATTGTGAGGTGAGGTGTGGAGGAGGTGTAGGTATGGAGGTGGAGTGTGGAGGAGGTAGGGTGGAGAAGGAGGTGTAAGGTGTGGAGAGGAGGTGTAAGGTTTGGAGAAGGAGGTGTAGGTTGGAGAAAGGTGTAAGGTTTGAGAAGGAGGTGTAGAGTGTGGAGAAGGAGGTGTAGGTGTAAGGTGAGTCAACAACACTTC